AAAAAAAAAAAAAAAAAAAAAAAAAAAAAAAAAAAAAAAAAAAAAAAAAAAAAGTCGATCGACAACATCACCGCAATCGTCGGCTGGTCGATACACAACGAGGGCGTATAAAAATCGGCTCTACGCCCTTTAAGTGCTGAATCCGAGCCTTTTCCCCGAGAAAAGGTTGACAAAGCGCCCGGCTGGATGATACTGGATTAAGTCCTCGCGTATACTCCTTTTTTTTTTCATCTCGAAGCTATTAGTTCTCGTTTTCCCGAGGATCGGCTCTTTCTTCTTTTTTCCCCTCCACCCTTTCATTCCGCTCTGCCTTTTTGCCGACCGTGGTGACGCCGAGCGTTAAATGCGCGCGATTTCGGAGATTTTGCACACGTAGAGTGCCTTTCTCTTTTTCACTGTTACGTTGATGCGGAAAAAGAATCCCCGAGGGCTGATGATCATTTTCTATATATCTGACAGATCGAGATTAGCCAAGTTTTTGCATGCGACTCTTTGCTCTGAATGAAACACATTAAAAGGGGCCAGTTGATTCACGTGGGTATAGACTCGCGTTTTAATCAACAACTGAAAATCAAAACCCGCGCATCGCAGCACAATATTAACCATCGAAAATTCGGCAATTGCGGGCATTCGACGCACGTACGGGCGCAAACTGACGTAAATTGACCAACACATTGAGTTGCGCGCGTGGGCCGCGTACCGATTTTTGACTCGACTAAACGCCACGATTGTACGTGCATCCCCGTCCAGCAATCACCCGCCATGCTGTCGTTCGGTGGCGTGTTTTGCGAGCTCATTTGTAAAAATAATTATACCCACGCGCGTCGTCTGTGCCGATCGATAAAGGTGGATCTGTACGGGTATGATCAGTGCCTATTCACCTGGACACCCTTTCATCGGCGCGAGCATTCAGCTCTGATGATTCAAAAATATTTTCCTTCGGTGTCACTCAATGTGAGCTCGGGGACGCACAAAAGATCGGTACTCGGCAAAGGTGGCTGCTCAATGTCGTGATGGCTAAAAGAAAAGTGGCAGGGTTCGTCATCGGCGCGCATACTCGAGTGGAGGGAGGGGGTGGAATTTTTAATTAGATCGCTGGGCTATGGTACAAATGGGACGACGGGTTATTTATTTTTTTTTTATTTTCACATGCCAGAGTTAAAGGAGACGCGGCTTCGTGGGCTAAATTAAAATTGAAATTATTTACGAGTTCTTGGAGGATTGCAACCGTGAACCGTTGTTTGTGTGTTCATTAGGGAGTTGGACGGATGAAATAAAGGCTAATGAGTTGAAAATAAAACAATTGAAAGAGAGCAACGTTGTTCTCAAAATGTTATTCGTTTTATTTTCACGAGACTTTGTTCCTCGGCTTTTTTTTCTTCTAGTTTTGCTTTCTAGTAATCCAAGATATGACAATGTGCCTAACAAAAATTTTGTTGGACCAAACGGCACAATTATAAAAAAAGCTAACTAAAGTAAATAAAACTAGACTCTGTAACAAAAAGGAGGCTCCAGGGTTTTCATCAAGCTCCACCACCTGTATGCCCAAGCAAAAATCTCGAACCAACCAACCCCCACCACTAAGCCTATAAAAGAAAAAAAAAACCACAAATGCTCCAGCCCGCAAACCAACCCCTGACAGAAAAAGCTCCAAAAAATCCCTAAACCCGCAAGCTCTCTTATTAACATCCTCGTGCGGGTAACGAACAGGCAGCCAAAATCAGACTTAATCCCTCTACGAGCATCACGAGTTCCACGCGAAGCTATACGTACATCGGACGAAAGAAGCCTCGGCCCGTCTAGCACATACGCTAGCAATTTGCATTTTCGTACACAGCGCCATGGTATTTTCCACCCCCACACAGTGGGAAATGTCTCTCCCGCGAGGCCCGTTTACTTACGACCCGAGATTAAATTCCCACCCTCCGAGAACTCGCGACGTGGTAAAGGATCTACTCTAGGGGAGTGGCACCCTTGACTGGGGCCGGGAGCTTGATCGAAATAAGGTGTTTTAGGAGCCAATGGCTGGAACTTTCCGTTTGGCGATGGAAAAAAAGGACATCGTCCTGTCGAGGGCTGCCCTTACGTGTAGGTTCACTATATATAACTAGTACTTGGGGAGTCGCGACACGCGGTGCCTTCATCTATGGGCATTTCGGGAATTCACAGTCGGACGGTTTGCGCGTCGCGCTCGTTGGTTCTGATTCGGCAGCGATAAATTTCCCCACTGCAGGGACAATCGGTTTCCCTTCCTCTCGATTATCCCCGTCCAGGGGCGCACTCGATTAGAATACTCTTTGCAGTTGCTTCGAGCGCAGGTGTCTCTTTTTCTGTCGCGAGGCGCTTTATCAACGAAAACGACGTCCTCGAAGATTATACGTTCGTCTCGGGGGGAAAAGGGGCGCGGAGATAAATGACACTTATCGCGACTGTTGAACAGAAGCGCTAATGGTAGAAAGAGCAGCTCTAAAGCTTTCGTGTATCGAGGAACGATTCTGTCTCTCTTTATCACGTGTTAATCGCTCGAGCTCCTTTTTTTCACCCCTTACTCGTTGTATCGGTTTGGTACAGGGTGAAAATTACAGCTCTCGAAAACGATGCGTTCGAGTGGCTGCTTTTTTCCCTCCCGAGGACCCTCGAGCCTTTTTTTGCCCCTTGGAGTCTCGTGTGTAGTTTTTCTTGTACGGTTTCCTTTTTTTTTTTTTTCTCCCTCTCTTTACCGAGTTGTAACGTAAATTAGCACTGGAACAGAACGAGGCGTTGGTCGCCAATGGCTATGACTGCGATAAATCGAAACCAGAAAAAAAAAAAGATTTAAACAGAATCTTATCAGAAAGACAGTACGTACAAGTGCACTCGAGAGATAAGAAGAGCAAGGACTCGTATTACGAACAAAAAAGGAAGGGATAAAAACAGCAGCTGTAGCCAAAGTCGCTCAGGTGAAAAAAAAAAAAAAAAGAGAGAGACGGTAGGGGGGATGGAATGATTTTTCACGAGTGCACTTCTGAATCGCGAAAATGGACTATAAGTCAGGTAATCCCTAGTAGATCACCCAAAATCCGGCCATCTGTTTCGTTAAATCTGTAGGTTCAACTGGCCGGAACTGGCTTGCGCTCGCAGTTGATGCTCGTTTTAAAAATTAATGGCCCGATAGAGCGAGAAAATCCAAGTGCGCCTGTACACGGAAAAGTGTACTCGAGTTTCGTTGCTGACACTTTCAGGTCTCATTTTTTTTTTGATTTCGAAACTTTTTGCTATTTCAAGGATGGCTTAGGGTGTTTTGTGCTGTGTTTTTTTTTTTTTTTTTGAAAACAAAAAATTTTGTTGAGAAGAAAAAAAAAATGTTTACTTTGTCTGTTGAAAGGGTGCGGGCTGCACTGCACTTCTTGTAGCCGTAGTGTCGAGGAAGCTGGAGCTGACGAGGGCAGAGAAGCACGTTCACAATTTCATGATGGACACGCAACTCACGAAAAGGGTAACGGCTCATGGTTTTACCGCGTGCAATCTACGATTCGTGCAAAACCACGTTTGTGCCGGAGATGCGAGAAATTTGATTGAATCTCGCCGACTTTGGTGGAAGGGAGGAGAGAAACCGTTTTTAGTTTGCCCGTACAATGTGAGTTATTCGGGGGCTTATTGCGGTATTAAAATTGCATACTCTGCGAAGCCCACGAAAGCAATGGTTAAAATTCAAGTTATGCGTACAGCAAAGAGAATACGGAAACAACTCCTGATGGCATAGCCTGGAAGTAGACATTTTGCAACAATACTGTAAAGCTCTTTTCTTCCCTTCCGCCCAAAATTTCTCCGACACTCTACGTGCAAAGTATTAATATTGTACAATAATATTAAGTATTTGATGATCCATAGTTTTTTTCTTTATATTAATAAATAATCTGTTGCACGTGTGAAAAAAAAAAACTCGACAGCTGAAAAACGCAGCAGCCAACGTGCTCCGCGAGACGTGGCTCATCTACAAGCACACGCGTCTGGTGAAGAGGGTCAATGCCGGCAGGGTTCGCGCACATCAGCGCAAGTTCTTACTGGCCATTTATGCGTGAGTATCACATTACAGTTAATACAAATAATCAGAGATAAAAAATTACAATCGTCTGCCGTGTCTGACCGAACTTGCTTGTTTCTACTCATTTGTCGTATTAAAAGCGCATTAAAAAATAATATTCCATTTGTTTGAATTAAACAGAAAAAAACCAAATACTTGTATCCATGATACATTGAAATTTCAGGTTTTATATTCAATGGCCATTTAAAAACATAATCATTGCCCTGCATGTCTGACAAAACTTGCTTGGTTCTACTAGAAAACATGATTAAAAGCATATTTTTAAAAACACTGATGGATTAAGTATGTCCATCAGTAATCTTTTTTATCAATCATTTCAATAATACAAGAAAACAAATATTGCCCTGTATGTCTGACCAAAATTCAAGATTTTCCTACATGTCTGACCAAATTCGCATATTTCTACTGTTAAACATTATTGAAAGTATGATTTTAAAAAGTATTGGATGAATTATGTGAGTTTGTCAGTTTTTTGGTCATATTAATGCAAACACTAGAAAAATACACGTTGTCGAGCATGTCTGACCAAACTTGCTTATTTCTACTAGTGAACATCATGAGAAAATGTAACTAAGAGAATAATAATAGATGAAATACGTAATCCCATGATTTTTCTAAAATGTCATTTCAGTGACACCAAAAAAAATAAACATTGCGTTGTACGCCTGACCAAACTCGCTTATTTCTACTAGTTGAAATTTTTTTTAAATCAATAGAAAAACCGATTTCTTCATTGTGGTAAAGAAAAATGAATCTTAATCACGTGATTCTTTGTTTCTGTTTCCTCCATGACAACAGACTGCGAAAAGTCAAAATGGACCAGAGGAAACTAATGGACAACGCCAGTACGGTAACGGACATGGCCAAGGTATGTACCGATAGTTACTCCAACTGTTACTTATTACTGACTCCTAAAAAAAAATATATTTCGATAAAACCATCCAAATGATAAAAACTCACGCCATTCGTAGCCGTTGATCGATCAATTTATCTTTACTCCTTCGACGCTGAAATTTTCAAAGTATCGCAAGCTGTCGCTAATGAGCTTACGGATTGATCGGCCAACTCGCTAGGATGGATCAGCACAAGTGAATAATCCTCTCCCCCCTTCCGATGGTTCCTTTTTCGCGACCGATAAGTTGATCCACTCACCGGAGCTTTTCCGAGAAGTTGAACACTCGCGGATGATTTATCGGCCATATGATAATTTCTAGGTGCTTTGTTATCCCCCATGTCCGCATTAAATAATGAGCAAAGAGAGAAACTTTGATGAAAGTCATGTTGTTGTGTTTCATGTCGTCCAGACTCAGAACACTGTGTACGAGATAGTGTCGGACATGAGCAGCCGGCAGGACGCCCTCGAGGAGCGGCTGGTTGGCATGGAGGAGAAGCTGATCTCCCTGCAGGAGCAGCTGGAGCTCCTGCCCGAGTCGTTGACGCGCTGCATGGCCCAGCACGCCGAGCGGCTGGAGCAGCGTCGCAACTTCCTTCACCCGGACGCGGCGGTGGTGGCCGCCCCGTCGACGCCAACCCCAGCCCCCGGCGTGCCGAACATCGGCGCCCACCAGGTCGGCACCTCCTTCCCCGGCTTCGCCTCGATCGGCGCGAGCGGCTCCATCCTCGGGCCCCAACAGCTCAGCTCCAACACCCTCCTTCCCCACTCGCGCAGCGTGCCCAGCGGCCCGGTCTCGCTCCACCCGTGGCCGGCCTCGCCCGTCCTGCCCCCGGTCTCCAGCCGCACGCCCCACCTCGTGCCCGAAACCAGCCGATCCTCCCAACAGCAGGGCCCGCAAATCGCCAGGCTCGGCACCAGCCAGGGCTCGGACACCTCGCCGCACAGCTGAGTCTCGGCCCTGCAGCCGCAGCACTCCTACTGAGAACCCGTTGTTGCGTCCTCGCTGGTTATATTTCACGCCCGTCTGTCTATCTGCGCGCGTGCGGGTGTGCGATTTTTTTTTTTTTGTTTTCATTTGGACACATACTGTAGTTGTTGATGCGCGTAAAAAATATACGCGCGAATACATTCGTGAGTACTAGAGCGCCTTCCCGTCTGGACTACGTTCTTTCCTCCTTCGGCGAGAGGATCTTACACCAGATTTTATTTCACTGTTTTTACGCGGCTTTTTTGTTTATCGCTATATACACGCATACGGTTATACGTACCCTTGAAAATAATTTAACACGTACGCTTGCGTCTGTTTTGTTGATCGCCAAGTAAAAGTGGAAATAGTTCATTTTTATTATTATTATTATAATTAATCCATCAAAGGGAACGGAAACAGACAGGAATTGCCCCGCACACGGCGCTGCTTCACACACGTAACACGAGATAGAGAGAGAGAGAGAGAGCGTGAAATCTTCCACTGTATATAATATATCGCTAATGAACGATATACACCTATACGCTGCGAGCTGCTTCCCTCCTCCTCCCCCCACCCCTGCCCAACATGCGTGCCTGATATATATATATAATACGTATATGATTACACGCGACGTAATCGATGCATAGTATATGTATAAATACATATATATATACATGTATATTGCGTATATTGTTAAGAAAATATACACACGCGCGCGTACAATTAGATATGATGTGGCAATGAATCTATAGGAGAGCGAAAAATGGATGAGAGGATGACGTGCGACGTTATACATGCACATGTGACGATATAAATATTATTGCTATGATAATATATTCACGACGCAACGATTCCACGTGTTTGTTCGTAGGCGCGTTAAAAATTATTATGCGTTAAAGAGCGATGTTTGTATGAGATGCTATTTAAAAAAAAAAAAAAAAGAAAAAAGAAAAAAAGAAACTATAGAGTATGATAATTTGATTCGGGGGTAAAAAATAAAACAAAAAGGTCGAGTGTGCGAAATTATACATATGCAATTATGGACAAAAAAATAAATAAATTGCGAGACGTTGGGAGAAGTGCACGTAGTGTGTTTTGCCTTTTTTTCTCAGCAAATACATATATATAGGTCTCGTATACAATTAATTGTAATTAAGTCGAGAGCAAAGTGTTGATCATATAGTGATTTTAAGTAGGTAGATAAATATATATATACGATGCAACGACGGAACGCGTGAATTTTTATACTTATAAATATAGGACAAAGAATTGAATTGACGTTCATAGCCCAGGAAGCGAAAGAAACGTAAGGAGCTTTTATCGAGAATTCCTTTCGTCCTTTACGATTGACATTGTTCGGAGTATTCGATTTCGTTAAGAAATCATACAATTTTTTTTTTTTTTTTTCATCATTCAACTTGATTTCGATACATATTTATTATATATATACACTTGTCGGTATTATTTTATAATTTATTATTCCGTTAAATTGAATTTTAATAATGACAAAGGAATTCTCGATGGGAATTGTGCGCCTGCCTCCAAGTGTTCACCAACGCGAGCGAGTACCATCGAACAATAAAAGGAAAAAAAAGGAAGCAGTGAATAACGAGGAAAAATGTAAAGTTATCTTAGTCGCTTCGACGTCCGTGTAGGATAATAGATTTTAAATGACGCTTCGAAGGACGAAGAGTTTCGACGTATCGAGAAACAAAGTTGAGAAAAGAAGGGAAAAAGTTCTCGCGAAGAAGAGAGAATTTTACCGGGGCGCATTTTATTTTTATCTCCTCGATAAATCGCGTAGCATCAATTTGAGTAAGATGAACGAGAGACGCTTGTATTTTAAGAAGTCGCGCGCGCGTTACTCGACAAGTACTTCACGTAGACAAAAGAGAAAAAAAAAATTATAATAATAATAACAAATAATGAATCGTAGAGCGAAGCGAAGCTGCAAAAGTTGCTGATATTATTATACCGTTATTAAACCGCGTAAAAAACGTACTTTGGAGGAAATAAAAATCGATCGCGAAACAAACTATATAATAACTGTACTGTTTCCTCGTACGTACATATATATTATACATAAATGCTAAACGTTACAAGATTATGTACATAAATATATACATATATATTTAAAGAAGAAGGTATGTTGGGTTGCGAATGTATACTCATCGTTTCGATGGATTTTCTTTGTTCAATTTTTTTTTTTTTCCGTACAAACGACAACGCCCCTTACTTGCGGATAGTGAAATACGTATACATTCGTGAAATTAACACAAAATCGATATAATCGAGAGATCGAACGTCATCCCTAGTTATTTAAAAATAAAAAATATATATATACATAAAAAAAGCGTTCAAAACGCATTGATCCTCCTCGAGATCCTCCTTCTCCGTTTAAACAGAGTCTATACAGTAATAATGATAATATGTACCTTCCTTTGAAAACTGTCCATCCCCAGTCTATGATCACCTTCTGTTTCGTCAACCTCACCGCTGGAAGGGAGGCGTCCTGCCCGCGTTTTTTTTATTTTTTATTTTGGTTTTTTAAAGATTAAAAAGTTTATTTTTAGAATGCATAGAATTTTAAAAGCTAACGTTTTACGCGTGTAATGTATGATACACACGCTTGCTCACATGTAAGTCGCTTCGGGGGTTCAAACCAAGTTCGCTCAATTTAAACAACACGAAAAATATATACTTAAAAAAAAAAAAACAATAATAATATGAACTCAATAAGAAAAATAACGCTGGGACCTATTTGCTTAAAAGTGAAGAATAAAAGAGAGAGAGAGAGAGAGAGAAAATGTAAAACGAGGCAGTAATATCGCCTTTATTCAGAGAGATAATACCTAGTGCTTTTTTTGCGAGATGTTCAAGTATCGCGAAACCTCGTGGCAAAACGGGACCAATTCATAAAATTAAAAAAAAAAAAAAAAAAATGTATAAATTAATACAACGCGATAATAGATATGAAAATTACTAAGAACAGATTAACAGATTTTATTCGTTACATAGTATTGTTTTGTTGAATCGTCACGACTAAACAAAATTCATTTGTGGGAAGTAAAATGAAAATAAAGTCAGATTGCTTTGTTACTGTTTATTAAGGATAGATGATTAGTAACCAAAATAACTATCCAACTAAAATAAAACGTATGTTTCAACAAAACGATTTTTCGAATTACGTTTCAAAACGGAAAGAAAAACGCACTGGACACAACAACCGCGCCATATTTTTATACATATATCTCAAAAGTGCATTGTAGTGCCAAGAAGATCAACTCTCAAGAAAAAAAAAGTTTGGTTTTAATGCATTTTGTGTATGAAAAAAAAAAAAACTCAACTTAATGATTCAGATTTAAAGAAAAAATAATCGACTCATTTACATTTACACGTGTTTACTGAGATACTCTCGAATAATAACAAAAGTTTATTCTCGGATATGGAACGGACGTAGACTGTGAGGAACGTCCAAGTGGCATTTGAGGTCCGAGTTCGAACAAATTAAATTATATCAATAATTTATTTAATTCATGTAATTCTAGATGATTTTCTTTTCTACTCTACAGTAGTAAATTAAACAATTTAATTATGGTTACTAACACAATCACAATACTTACACGATGTATTTAAAAAAATTTATTTTAATTGTAATATTTTTTTTTACGATATTCTGCCTTCTGCCACCAACAACATTTTCCTAATCCTCACAGAATACGTCCGGTTGTAAGGGAAAAGGAGTGATATCGATGAACGTAGTGCGTAGAAAAAATAAGTATGAAAATAAAATGTTTTAACAATAATACCTAAGTGAATTTCAGAAGAAGGACAGGCGAAACGATGATAAATTATGAGGGTACGGGCACTCGGAAATTTTTCTAATTCTAACAAAATTTTATCTAATTTTACTGCAACGCTACTCGATAAAAATTTACAAAATTAGCAGTTTACTTTGCCAGATTCGAGAAATTACTTAAACTTTCATCAAGTAAATACATCTAAAAAATATGTTTGAATATAACGGAGCAACCACTAACTATCGCACTAGTATAAACCGTATTGAGAATATGTTTAAAAAAAGATAAACTATGTATTTAAAAAACTGAATTATTTATCATTCGGTGCAAAAAAAATACTAGAATTTAAAAACTAGAAATTTTTAATTTTTTGTTTTTTTTCTATACAATGGTNATATAATAATGTAAAAACGAAGCAGTATAAAAATTTCAAGAGAAATAAACATTTAAAAAATACACCATCGGTAGCCTTTGATGAAGATATTCTTAACGCCTATCAACAAAAATAAAAATGTATGTATTGCAAATACACTCATGTAAAACTGATAGGTAATGCAGCGAGATAAAGAAAAATTAATACATAATATAATTAATTACAACATAAATGAAGAATATATATTATTTAACTGGAGAGCGAGATAATTGAGGAAACAAGGGATAGAGTTAGTAAATTAAAATAAACAATGCGGTTGATTACGTTATCGCGCGACAAATACAATAGCAAGGAATGGCGAAATATATATTAAAAAAAAAAGGTGAATACATTTTAATAGAGCATAGAAATTAAGAGATGTAAAGATAAGTAACGAATAATGAAAAAAGTTTGGTATGCAAAATAGAAGAAGAGGATCAATCACAAATTGTGCATAAAACGTCACATCAAAATATTTATATAAAAAAATAATTACGACTAGGGCTTTAACATACATATATTTACCGTTATTGTTAATGATGAATAAATGAAACTACAGAAAAAATTAATACTACAATCGTAACGATTTACATTAGTTGAAAGACTTAACTATTTGAAGGTCACGTAGGAATTAGGGATGTAGGGATATTTTGACAGTTTTATTACTACTAATAAATAATGACGTTCCATAAAAAACAAAATAACGAAAATAATGAAAGCTATAGTAATAGTATTCTAATACAAATATTAATAAAAATACGCAGCTACACTAGTGGTTGATTGAATTAAAAACAAAATTTAACAAGTACTAATAAAAGTGGAGAAAAATGACCAATCAACGCAGCAGATTCGTACCTAAAATGCAAATTATCTTTAGGTAATATGTAGATGAGAATATAAAAAAAAATATGTTAGAAGCACTTTTACATGAATTTTTTCATTGAAAGTATACTTACTCATTACATAACTTTTTTCAGGGGATGATAATAAAAAAAATAGTTAAATAGTAAAAAAAAGTTAAAAATATACTCTACTGCTGCTGAAAATTGGTGACGATACAGTGTGATCTTGATAAATTCAGTCATGCCCAGCTATATAACTTTGAAAAGCATTTAACGAAATGAGTAATTATAAACAACAAAATATAATGAACATAATAAGTTTAAAAAAAGAGTATAAAATTTAAAAGATATGCATTTTAAAAAATAAATAAATAAACGACGTGTTAAAAAATAACTACGTAATAAACAAAAAAAAAATCAAAACTGTGTCCTCGTCCTCTATTCTCTTTCCTCTAAGAAATACCTCATTGACGAAAAAAAGTTTTCCAATGTCAATGCAAAAAAATAACCTATTTCAAAGTTCTTCTCTCTACTCTTCTTCTCTTCACCTCTTTCTGATTCTCAACGAATCCCTTGTTATCTCTTTCCCTTTTCCTCTCGAAATATTTTTCTCTTTACACTCATCACAGTTAACCGTCAGTCTACTTCTGCGAAGAGGTGAGAAACAAATTCTCGTACAACAATACGTGTATATATTCGGGCGAGTAAGTGCATTCTGGTGATTTTACGCGATTATGTGTGTTGGATGAATTGATGGATGATGCACGAGTGATACATGGGAATCGATATAGGGTACTCCATGCTCTTCTTTGCAATTAATGAGCAAAGTTTCTTGTTTCTTGTCTGCCGTTTTTTCTCTAAAAAATATTGATTATTTTTATACGATTAATGTATTTTTTATAAAAATTTAAAAATTTAATTGGTCCATTTAATTATTTTCTGCCTTGACTTGGTGAAAAAATTTCATAGATCATTCAGATGATTTTGTACGGAAAAAACGACAAACAAAAATGAGCAATGTATTAACTATTCGTTGACATAATTATAAAATTTTAATTCCGTTTGAATGTTATTAACGCTACGTTATAGGCTTAATTTTTTCAACTGTTACAATTAAATATAAGTTTTTGTTGCGCGATAAACAGAGTGGAAAGCATTTTTAGTCCTACAATGTCTTACAATGTGTTCCATTATCGTTGGAAATTAAAACAATTAATTAACATAGGGTTATCAACTTACGGGCTTTCAATTCGATTGGCGACAAATGCGATTTGAAGTGTCCGACATTGTATAAATAGAGCGTGCGCTGTTGTTAAAAATTTGTTATTACGTATGTATTATATTTATTGATATTACATGTATATCGCCTAACTATCGAATACGGCTTTAATCAGTTGTTTTGCATGAATTTTTAAGTAATCGGTATGTTAAGTTTTCGATAATTGGATTGATTCGTGGTAAGCTGGACTTGCACTTTTGTGTCATCTGATTTTTCGAAAAACTCAATCTACACTTGTTTAAATTGGGTAAACTAATTACTTTATGAATTCTGGAAAGAAATAGTGTTGAAAATTTTCCAACGTTCCTTTGTAAAAATTTAAATGCAAAGTTTTTCGAAGCAGGTGACACAAAAAATCAGATGATAAAAAATATGTTGAATGTTAAAGCTGTGCGTGAAAACGAGAGCAATGTTTTTGTTGTATCGAATGTCGTTATTTACGTGACAAGCCAAGTATGTCGTGTTGGAAAGAGAAAATAAAAAAATAAAAAACTAACTACCTAAAAAAATTATGTACATGAGAAAGAAATAAACAAACTCGCAAGGAGAGTCTCCTACTAAGGGAACAACTACAGTAATTTAATGGACGTATAAAAAAGGGAGACGACGACGAGATGTACACAAAAATAATAACGATTCATCCTAAATAAATTCAACTATCCGCAAGAAAAATAAAGAGAAACACGAACACTTACGTGTATTCGATACTACGGCGCGCCGGAATAACGAAACTAAAAAAGAGATTAATAAATATATAATATATGAGGGAGATGAGGGAACTAAAAAATAAATAAAGAGCAGATGAGGGAATAAAATAAAAACAAACGATACACGTGAAATCAATAAATAAGATGTATAAATAGAACAAAAAAAAAAAAAAACGTACGTGTGAAACCGTGATGAAATGGGAATTCGTAACCTTGTAAACGTGTGCGACACGTAAATTGTAATGTTATACATACAGTTTCGATGTAAATAGAATGTGATTTGAGATCGTCTTTATATTTTAGAAAGAAGCACAACGTTTGTTACGAGGAAAAAAAATGTTACTTTATAATGGCTCTAACATTAAATTTATTAAATTTGTTAGCAGCTCTCAATACACGCTCTGTCTTTTTTAATTTTCACTTTCAAATTTCCTTTATATCACTTTTGCAGGTACATCTTCTGGACAGTATAAGTATTCGCTTTTAATCGCAGTATCGAACAAAAACGCCTCAAAATCAGTACTTAAATCAATTTTATTTCTAAAATTACATCAAAACTAACTACAAATTACATTACAACGTTGCACTTGATATTGAAAATTATTAACTTGTAAAAAAAAAAAATACACAATCATCCCCTCTTTACTTCCAGAATCGTTAATTTTTAATTTTTAATAGTATTCATCCTATAGTACAAAAATTTTCATGATTTACTCGAAAATTTAAAAAATACCCCCTGTCTCGCAATAATTNCTGCGGATAATAACGGGATAACATCACACGAGGGTGTATTTTGTAGGGGTGGGCATGGATTGGGTTGCAAATTGTCTATATAAAATAGGATTGGTTTTTTTTTTTTTTTTTTTGGGGGGGGGGTGAAAGGGTGGAGAGTATATTACGTGTGGGATTTCGTTACCTGCCAGGGATGACTGCCAAAGCTCGTGCTGTGGCCGCCGACTATTCGATTGCTCCTCGTGTACAGTTCGCCGCAGCCTAGAAAAGTAGAAGGGAATTCGGGGGAGGAAGAAAAAAGGAGAAAATGGAAAGGGGGTTGCGTTAAATATATTGATTCTCCTTTTGGTAAGTATATATGCATAATATAAGCTTAAAACGTAATTGACAATGGATATGGGGTTTGGTTTTTTTTTTCTTTTTTTTTTTTTTTTTGTTGTTGTTGTTACGGTTCTCTTAAATTTTGCTGCAAATGGTGAAACGGTGTACTGTGATCAAAGCGGCTTTTGGGTCATTGGTGGGTGTGGTCTAAATTTAAATTGCTTCCTATTTGCACGTGCAGAAAATATTAAGTTTAAACGCTACGTCGTTCGCTGGAATCTGCAGACTTCACTGAAACGTCTCTCTCGCGTCACTTACTGATTAAAACTATCATTTTTTCGTTTTAAACTACAACACACAGCCCAAAAAAAGTTCGTGAGCTCCGCCTCGGCAAAGATAAACAACAACATCAACAAAAACAACAACAACAACAACAACACTGGACAAAGTGGAAGAGGAGGGGCGTCCCCGGTCGTCGATTTTGGGGTGAAAGGAAGCTTTGGTAACTCTGAGGGCCTCCTCTTCGCTTGGGAGGAAAAAAACTCCGAGTCCCTAGCTCATGACCTTGTCGATCCAAGGAACGAATTTCTGGATGTTGGTGTAGACCCCGGGTAGGTGCTCGCGCCCACAGCCGATGCCCCAGGACACCAGACCGATGAGCACGTGCCTGCCCTCTACCGACATCGTCAAGGGCCCGCCAGAGTCCCCCTGAGTTGGAAAACACGCGATTTTCAAACAAGTGGAAAAAAAAAAAAACGAGAAAATACAAAATCTGAAAAAAATAATCTCACTTGGCAGGAATCGCGTCCTCCCTCCTTGTACCCAGCGCAGAGGAAGACGTCGTGTATCGTCTCGCGGCGACCGGCGGCCCTGAACCACCTTTGGCACCTCTCGTTAGGAATGACCTAGAAAAAAAAAAAAAAAAAAAAAAACGGATGCAAAACGACTCTCTCCATACGCTATACGTACAGGTACCGATAAACTGTCGCTTTCACTTTTCCCTCTCCGTATCGGTAAGCGAGGGGATTTCCACTCGTCGCGCGTATGCTATACGCGAACCAACAAAATATCTTTCGGTGACCCTGACGAGGACGCGGTGTATTATATTCCCATTGAAAAAAAAAAAAAAAAAAAAAAAAAAGAAAAAAAACCATTAATTTCAAAGTCAATATTCTTATAAACTGCACCACGGGTGAAATCCACGCTCGGACTTATCGGTATGGCGGATCGTTATCGCGTGTGTTGTTCAAACGAGTGCCATCCCCACCCATATTTACAGAAGAAAAAAACAAAACGCTTTTCACTTTCTTCCTCGCGTGAACCAACGACATGCGCATCGGAGAGAAACGTCGTAAAAACGTAGCGTTGGAAACTTGTCTAGTAGATGCATCCAGGACACGGTCGGACACGTACAAAAAACAAAGGTAATTCCCCCAAACGATCCCACATTATTATATACGTGTGGGGCTTGCTCACCTCGACATCGACCTCCTGCAGGACGGTGGGGGCGGAAGTCTGACCGTGCCTCGTCCTGCCCCAACCAGCGACCGTGGCCGTGCGCCCCTGGAGCTTGAGGCTGCGCGCCGGCAGGCAGACCGGGACTATGTGCTGCTTGAACTCGACCGTCCTGGACAGCTTGATCAGGGCCACGTCGTTCTTAAAGTCCGTGGGAGAGTACTGGGGGTGCACCTGCGCGCAGTGGGAACGACTCGTGAGTAAGGGTGTACAAGATATACGGTTTAAATCAGCGAGGGTGTGATTATCAACGTGGTAACCGACCTCTTTCCTCTCGATGGCGAATTCCTCGTGCAACAGCCGCTCCGAGGCATCTCTGACGTCCCACTCGCCGAGTCTGACCTTGAGATTGTTGTTCGGGGTCCTGGGCGAGGACAACAAAAACGAAAAAGAAAATTTTGGCGCTTCGGTGAAAAATGAATAATCCGTCGACATTATCCGTCACCCGCGTTTACACGTATACTATTGTAACGAATTACTACTGTAGGGTGGGATAAAAAGAAGAGAAATTCACGTCCCCCTCTTGATAAATTGTATTATACGTGTACGGGAGCAGAAAGAAAAAAAAAAAAAAAAAAAAAAGTACCAAAGAGAAAGAGCTTAGGCGTGTACGGTACGGCCTCTGAATAATACATTAGACATTTTGTGTCGCGCTTAACCCCCCCCCCCTCCCTCTATTTGTTTAGAGTATGTGTACAGGTATTATATAGACATCAAATGAAACGAGAATTAAGTAGTTCAATGAGGCTCTTCTTTTCGTTGTTTCAAAGTAACTCGATGCCTTTTGTAGCCCAAATCCCCGTAAATTATACGAAACAAACAGCCCACCCCCATCCTGTGATCACCGAGAAGCAATTACTCCCAAAGGCCTCGCTGTCAGAGAGAGAGAGAGAGAGAAACAAGCTTGCACGGTATAAGTACACTCGTGTATTGACGCGGCAAATCGACCGGCGTGGGATTTAGGATTTACGAATACGCGTCTACATGCACGTACATATATGTATATGTATCTATAGGTAAGCGTGTGTACTCACGTGGCGACGCAATGAGCTGCCGTGACGACCCAGCGGTTGTTGAGCAGAGCACCACCGCAAGAGAGCTTGCGCGACAGAAAGGCCGTTTTTACGATGGCAGCCTGCGGATAATAACGGGATAACATCACACGAGGGTGTATTTTGTAGGGGTGGGCATGGATTGGGTTGCAAATTGTCTATATAAAATAGGATTGGTATGGATTTTTTTTTTTTTGGGGGGGGGGGGAAAGGGGGGAGAGTATATTACGTGTGGGATTTCGTTACCTGCCAGGGATGACTGCCAAAGCTCGTGCTGTGGCCGCCGACTATTCGATTGCTCCTCGTGTACAGTTCGCCGCAGCCTAGAAAAGTAGAAGGGAATTCGGGGGAGGAAGAAAAAAGGAGAAAATGGAAAGGGGGTTGCGTTAAATATATTGATTCTCCTTTTGGTAAGTATATATGCATAATATAAGCTTAAAACGTAATTGACAATGGATATGGGGTTTGGTTTTTTTTTTTTTTTTTTTTTTTTTTTGTTGTTGTTGTTACGGTTCTCTTAAATTTTGCTGCAAATGGTGAAACGGTGTACTGTGATCAAAGCGGCTTTTGGGTCATTGGTGGGTGTGGTCTAAATTTAAATTGCTTCCTATTTGCACGTGTGTGTGTGTTTGTATATATATTAACAATAATAATAATAATAATAAAAATGTATAATAACATGTATTTCACTGTTACAGATGAAATAATTGTACATCTTCATATGCCGATCGTGGTGAGATTACATCTTCTTCTTTAGCACCCCAATATCATATCATCTGGTCGTCCTGCGAGATTCATCGCGTGCAGTACACGCAGCGGTGCAATTGGTTTACGAAACCCACATCCACACGCGCTACATTCATCATTCGATAAAGTGTCCTCGGTTTGTCAAAACACCCATGCGTTGTTGAGATAAGAAAAGATTGAGAGTAATGAGAAAAAAAAAAAAAAAAAATGAAAAAAGGATAGCGGTGCACGGTTGGTTGCAGTATATTATGTTTGGTTTACAATAGATCCCACCTCCTCCCCCACACCGAGATATAACACACCCACACAGAGACAGCAGCTGATTACCACGGTATCGGGCGTTGGTGCCAGCTAACGGCCGCGTCTCGATGGTTTCCCCGTAATCGTCCTCCCCGGGATAATCCGAGGATGGTGGCCCGGCCGGCTTGCTCGGCAACACCACGAAACTCGGGCGCTGGGCTTCCTCCTCCTGTTGCTGATTGTGCTGGTGGTGGTGGGAACTCGAGGCGTAAGCCGGACCGGTTATTCCGTTGTGGTGGTGCGGACGGTTAGCTAGACCGTACACGCTCACCTCGTCGTCCAGATACACTGGACGCTGGTGATGACCGATGTAGCCTACAATTTGTCGGTCTCGAGCTCGATCCTTGTGTGTTTTTTTTTTTTTTCTTTTCTTTTTGTTTTTTTTTTTTGCTTATAGAAACCCATTACAGGGGCGTGCGTTGCCGATTGTGGTATTTTGTGGGGGTTTTCACGGATTTTTCCATAAATCTTTGGATTCCATCGGCTGGAATTTCCTTTTTTTTTTGTCTTAGGTATATTGGTTGGGAGGAGTACGTGGGAAGTGGAGGCGAGGGTCGAGATTGAGCAGATAAAGAAGAAGAAACTCACTGGCGTTCTGCAGGAGGCCGACGTTGGGCTTTTGAATCTTGTCGGGGATGTCGTCGTCGTCGATGCAGCAACTCCATATCATGCCCCCGGAGCAGAGGTTGAGCGGCCGGCCGCCCTCCAGGACGCAGCTTATGCTCAGGCCGCACTGGAACTTGGCGCCCTTGTACTTGCAGGTCTTGGGTATCACTGGAATCAAACAGTTTTACAGTTTGTTATTGTACCTCGGACGAAATGTGCAAAACCTTGGGAAATTCTTGGGAAATTTGAAAAAATAATGATTAATAAAGACGATTAAAGGGGGGTGGGCTTTTGTATTAAATTCCAAGGGTGTACTTTTTTGACGAAATTTGAGGATTTTTTAGTAAAACAATGTTTTTCGAGACTACCCGAGAGCGCGTGTAAAGTATTCCCTGCTTTTCAATCAAACAGCTACAAGTTCCTATTTCACAAGCCCAACATGAGCCATCTTCCTCGGCACGCGATACGCGCTCTTACCGGAGCCCGTACACATAACGAAGACAAAGGGAATAACAACAAAAAGAACGGCATTCTCGAAAATCCACGAAACACGTAGACAAGACGACGAGAGACGCAACGAGGCGCATCAGCAGCAACGTGCACAAGTACCGAGCCTTGCATATACATGTGTGTACTCGCGGGTCTGCTCTGTTTCGCTCGGTAAACGAGTGTGTCCGTCACTTTCCTTCCCGAATGTAAGTGCACAACAACGCACACGGTGAAATTCAGGACTCGCGAACGAGCGTGAAAGTCTTCTTCAAACGCATACAATTGTACACGTACCGAGCGATCGCTAGAAATCGGTATGTATACGGATAACGGGCCGATATGCCGATCCGACTCCCCGTGCGATACCGCATACAATTCGCGAGGTGCGAACATCGCGGCTGAAAGATCGGTCTGTTGATTCTCCCCCTTTTTTTCTTTTTTTTTTTTTCAATCGTTATTATAATTACAATACTGTCGCTCACCCGGCGACCGCAGCGCGAGTGTGTATGTGTCACGCGCTCTTTCTTGGTACACTTTCGGAGAGCAGAGCCGCGTTGTTAATTTTAACGCTTTTCTCTTGCTCCACTTTTATGCGCTGTTTATAATGTACACGCGTTTCGGTGTGTGTTATTCTACGACGACGTGGCCGGCTCTGAATTTTCAGTTAATTTGGCGTGAAACGCTCCTTCCTTCGAGGTGTTTGTGTATGGCACTCTCCGTTCGCAGCCTCGGACAACGAGGGTCATTAGGTAAATACGTTTGAGGGAAAATTGCCGATTCTTTACCGTTTCCCGTGGGTTTGGATTTCATCGCCCTTCAGCGCTATCCAATCCTATACTTTTACATTACCGATCACCCAACCGATTTTTTTCACCAAAACAACAAGGTCACTGCACACGTACTTCGCCCAAGTAGGTCTATGATCCCGTTTTGCAGCTCGGGGGATTGTTCTTGGTAACCCCGGTAATCGTTGGCACCGCCACCCGTGGCGTTCCTCTGCCTCTTGCCGAGCGCCTGGACCAACAGAGCGCCCTGTTCGACACTATTGAGCTTTTTCTTCTTCATGCGTCTGCCCGTTCGGTACCCCTCGGCGTCCTTGTCCCTGTCGGCCTCCTTGACCCGCCTCCTCCTCGTCAACTCGTCCAGATAACTCGCGAACTGCGCCTGATCGCCGTCACCGGCGTCATCGTCGGAAATCGGCAAGTCCTCCTCGTACGGGTAGTCCTGGTAGCGATAAACCGAGTTCGCCCCGTTCACCGCTCTGCTTCCTCTGACAACGACTCTTTCGTCGCGAACGATCGACGGCGAGCTCCCGGATGCAGTGGCAAAGACGAGGACAAGGATCGCGGGGAGGCCGCGCATCTTGGCGGACCGCAGCTGCCGGTCTTTTCCCATGCGGCCTGATGGCTCATCTCTCGCTCGGCCCCACAGCCCCTCCGACCCTCTCCCTCGTGGTGATGCACATGGGACGGCGATGATGACGGACAGCCGAGATCGGCAAGCGAAATGATACGAGACCCGCGCGACGGCTCGGCCAAAGTCCGACTAAGACGGGGATCGTAGATCGGCTCTCTGCTTTCACCGGCCGAAAGCGTTCCGCTCCTACTTTGCTTTCCAAGTGCTTGGCGGCCGCCGGTTTGTCTTTTCCTTCTACGCGTTCGCGCTCTCTTTCTCTCCTACTATTGTGCGGCGCAAGGAGCCGTTTTGTTTTATCATCCCGTGTCGCGCTCCTCCGTCGCGCATCGCTGCTCCCCGTCATACTCGTTTCGCGCCGTTGTTTTCCCTCGTTTTAACTATTGTCACGCTTCGGGTTATTAAATTCGCGGTGGACGACTTTTTTTTTTTTTTTGTTTTTTCGTTTCTCGCGGGTTTGCTTTGATTGTTGTACGTTAAAACAAAACTGGTGTGGTTAACGAAATCGTTGCTTCTTAAGATGCGTGGCCGATAGTTTTCGGGGGAAAAACGTGCTCATTCGAGGGAAATTAATGATGGGTGGTATAGTTATACTACGGTCACGAGCGGAGTTTCCATTGTGAAATTTCATTTTTTTTTTTTTCGTTCCAGGTGAAAAAGAAAATCAACCTCGATTTGTAGGTACGCGTGTTTTGATCCAACGATTAGAGGTTCTTTCGCGGTTCACTGGGTCGCGCCGACGGTGCAGGTGTTGGAGATAGACATCGTTGTTTGGCGAGTTTATGAATCCGCATTAATTACACGGTAAATTGCTCCGCGAAAACGTTAGCATTTTAAATTAAACGGATTCGTTTTTTTTTTTTTCTTTTCTTTTCTATGGTGTCCAAATGATACCATAGCCAAACAAGTAACTTTTGACAAAATAAAGAGTAGAAATCAAGTTATTAAAAATTGGTCAATACATGGTGTCATACATATAATTCCGGCTCTTTATAATTCAACTTGTAACCGAATTACCTTTAACAGTATAGCAAAAAAACCTGTTCGGTTGTTATAACCGGTTCATTACAAAACCAAGATACTATTACGAAAAAAAGTATCCTTTACATATATTCGAAGTGCATATTAGTCACCTCGAAACGTCAAAGTCAAGTTTGCCACTCACATTGTGACGAGTGGCCCCACACACACCCGTACCTATACACACATCACCTTTCTCTCCCCCACACGTGCCTGTCGCTTCGACTCCCCTCGCAACTGCGTCCCGTTGTTGTTATGATCCTCCACTGTCGCTTTCGGTTAGCTAACTGTCCCACCTCGAGCATCGCGATGCGTATTGACGAAAAAGGACTCGCTTTAATCACGTATAGTATAATATATACCTTTACGTACGTACGCGAGAGTGAAGAAACGAGAAAAAAGAGAAATGGGGCGCGCGTTGGCTTTCTTTTTCTATCGGTTATTCATCATGCGCACGCCGGACAGGGCGTTAAAAAGTAAAAGCTCTACGTGCCCATACACACACTCGTAAAACAAGCTAGTACCAGGGCCAATATCCTTGCATGTGTATTTTACACTTGAGCCGGAAGCGATGGCCTTCGATGCCCCGTGGACGATTAATGGACGTGTGCTCTCTCTCTCTCTTGTATGTATTGTATACGATTGATAATTTAAAGTAACGCTTTGGGGGAAAAGAGGGAAAATATTGTTCTTGATAACGCCGAGTAAACAAAGCTCCAGGTGAACTCGAAAGCGATCATTCGCGTGATTGTATACATATTAGGTACCTTTGGGAAAAAGTAAACGAGAGGCCAAACAAAAAAGTCCAGCTCTATCGCTCGGGTCGCAAAGGCACGTACATAGGCGCGCTCAAGCGTGAAAGTCGGGTGTATATACTTTTACTTCTCTCTCTCTCTCAGTCGTTTATACGCGGCCACGCGCTCTCCAAGGCACTCGTCGTCTTTTTTTTTTTTGTTTCTTTCCTTCCTTTTTCACTTACATCCGAGCTCGTCGAAGAATCTCAGCCGGTCGACGGTCGAGCCGTCGATGCTGTTTTCCAGCGCCGCCTCCTCCGGCTGCAGCTGCACCGGTGGATCTGCAAAACGATCGGACATAGAGATCGGTATCTTACCGATTTTTCTTCCCTTTCTTTTTTTTGTCTCTTCGTGTACGGATTTACCAAAGTGCTTGATGTACTTGTCGTTGCGCCTACAGCCGACCGGCTGGAGCGACATGATCGCAGCCATCAGCAGCGGGACGGCGAAAATCGGCAACAACCCCTGCCTCCACATGGCGCCCTCGACCTTTCCGCCGTTGCGGCTCGTCAATCCCAACGGTCCAGTATCGTCATCATCATCTTATTGGCAGTGGAGAGCAAAGCGACGAAAAAGCCACGAAGGAAAAGATCGACATGACGATCTCTCTCTCTCTCTCTCTCTCTCTCGTCCTTCTCCTTCCTCGAGCGGTTGGGCGACGAGATGTGGGACAGGCAGCCAGCCGGGGAGAAACCAGGCCACTGAAACAAGTGGAACGCACTTTGAGAGATACACGTATACATAGAGGGGCGGGCGAAACCACAGCGCCGATGTCTCTTTCTCTCGACAGACAGAGAGAGTTTTTTGGACTTTTGATCATATCTCCCTCTCTATCTTCCATCTTTCGAAATGCCGATAGAGCATTAGGTACGTATGAGGGGGGAACGCGACCAGAATCTCAATAATCCATCGGTCGAGCATAAATGTTTCGTAATGGAGAGAAATTTGGGCACTCTCTAAATTTTCCTCACGAAACCTCACCGATCCGCTGGAAAATCGGCATAAACATGCGCTTATGTATTTATTTGAATATACACCCGAGCACGTGTTTCACGGCGATGACGAAGATCTCCAAATTCATGGAGATACGCTTGAAAATCTTTGGGTGGAAGCGAGTACACGTACGTGCAACGCCATGCGCGTGTACATATTAAGTTATGAGTGAAAGTTCTCGCTACGCGATATATATATATATTGGACTCGCGTATAGATACATACCGGTGACTCGACGATTTTTCGTTCTATTGTCGCGTGGGCTCTTTTTCATCCAACCGAGAGATCGGAATTGTTCGCCGCAGCGCGTGTACACGAGGAGGAAAATCTTAGCCGATCGGTGGAAACAAACTTTTTCATTGAGTATAAAAAAAACAAGGGGTCGAAAAGACCGCTCTTAAACAATAATAATCGAATGGCGCGACGAGCGAGTTAGAAAGTGAACACGCATATTCCCCGCCCGGCTGTTTGTTTCCCCGTCGTTTCAGTTTAATCAAATCCCCGCAAAATTATGCTCGCGTTGGTACGTTCAAGTTTTTTCTCCTTCACTCTCGTTTCTTTTTTGTCAATCGACAACTTTTGTACAACGGTTGATTATTTTACATTTTCACGCACAAAATATAATTTTTTTTTTTTTTTTTGTTATCCTTATACGTACATAAAAAACTAGAAAAACTATTTTCGTAATAAGATAGCGATCGATGTAAAGAGTCCGTTTTCTGGACCATTTGGTAGAAAACAAACAAAGATACCATACATAGTCACGTACAATTCTGGAACACTTTGAAAAACTGTCTTAATGATGTTTGACTAATTTAGAAAATAATTGTACACGCGCCTGGGATGTAAGGAAAAAAAAAAAAAAAATGTCATTTCGCGTCAGCGATAGCTCAATTACAAGCAGCAGGAGGCGATAAATCACCGGGAGGGGGACAAGGAGTTGGCTAACGCTCGCGTAACAGCGAGAGAGGAAGGAGCAAAAAATAAAAGGAAGGGGGACCTGCATCATCGTGGCGAGGAAGAGACAAGCTTCGACGGACATTTGCGTTTCTCGCTGAAAGAAGTAAGTAGGTACACGCTGATTAAATTATCGGGGCGAGCTTTCGTTTCGCCGATGAGTTCGATCATAGGCCTACTTTTGCGCGGTATAATAAGCGCCGATATTTCATAACGAGTCCCCCGTGTGCCATTTGATTAGTTGCGCCAGCGACTCGTGAATACTGAATAAAATCGAGAGAGCTGCAATAGGGGCAGTACTTACAACTTACGTTCACGCGCTACTAGTCGCTCACGAGGGCCTATTTGCATTTCATCAAATTAACAGGCACCATCGGCGTATATTGAATCATGTATACTGTACTCTCGTGAACGTATGATAATTTTATTTTCCAGTCAAGTTGAACGTCGTTGACGTGAAACATTGCGTTTTCTCGAGGCGTTTCTTTGGAAAAAAGAAAGGAAAAAAAAAAAAAAAAGAAACTTTTTAAAAGATTTATACAAGAGAGTGTAGCGGGAAAAAAAGAAAACCCAAGCGAGCGCGCGCGTGGCAATCGGAACGTAAAGAGAAAGAGAGAGAGAGAGAGAAAAAAAAGCACAGATGTTTGTAATGTACCTTTCGCTCGCACTTCTCTCCCCGTGTTTGATGTGTCCCTCCTAAACTCGTTGCTAACAATCATTAACGCGACAGGCCGGCCGTGCGTCCTCCGTGTACGCGACTGGATGTATATATTTTATGTGCAGCTTTGACTATTTTTTGTGGATTTTTATCGGCGCTTCGTTCCTTTCTCACTTTGGGTGGAACTAAAAAGTCTGTGGTAGGTGTGTGATGATGGGTTTTTCGGTGCCCAGATTTCGTTTTGAAAAAGGTACTTTTCGCTTTGCTTGGACTTGACTTTTGTGAATGAGCGATTTGTCGATTTTAATGACGATTTTTTCCCCGAGAGATTTCCATTTTTTTTTTTTTTTTTCGTCCACGAGCATGCGTAATTCGAGATCGGTAATGCCCGGTTCGATACCCTTATTTTTTCCAAAAAATTGTTTCGTTACAAATTGTTTGTATAAGCAATGAGAGAAGCGAGAGCTTTTTTTTTTAGCTAATTTAAAGAATGATTTCTAGATACTTTGATGGCTAGTTTTTTGTGATATTTTTTATAAAATCTACAGTCTAAGCGAATGAAGACTTTTTTTGCGTGGAACTATAACCGACAAAACTGACAATATTTTTAATCTGTTAAAAGATAATGTCGTTATTACTTTTGTTAATCAAATTTTTTTTAAACAATTCATCGGGCCACTTATCGAATTTCTGACCAAAATCTGTTTGCTCGAGAGATCAAAATGTGTAAAAAGGAAAAAAAAGCGTTTGGAAGGTCATGAATTACTACACCGAAAAACGCAAAGTGTAACTTTTGATTCCCAACAACGAGGGTCGTGTGAAATCCCTGGATTTTTCGCAGACAATAATTACTCGACTCAAAAGTGTCCACTTAAATAACACTTGAAATGTCCACAGGTATATAATATATAATCACGTTCGTCTTGCAAGAGTCGCATTATTTTTTACTTCTCTCTGTCGGGGTAACCCACGAACACGGCGTCAATTAAAAAGTTAAGCATCAAATACCGATGGCGTGACTAATTTTCGGGAAAAAATTACGCAGAACTTTCTCTCACCGGCAACGTTATAACACAGAAATTATTTTCCGGCGACACTTTTTTTCTTTCTTTTTTTCAAGATTCAGCGAAACGATAACCCAACGAAATTCCGCCACGGATTCTCATCTGCCATATTTAAAAAACTTTGATTCGTGTTTCCTGGTACTCCAAATTTCGACGAAATCGTTAAACTACTTTTATACTGATTATAATTTTTTGGGGGGTTTGGAAATTTTTTAAATTGTTTGAAAAATCTACCGATCGAATGGAGCATATTTATTGATACGTGAGTGTGGAATAAATAGTTTTACAGGCAAAAAACTAAATTAGATTGGAAATCAATATCGTTTACTTTGAATACGTTACGTTCAAGTCGATTTTCATCGGCTTGTGTATACCGAGTACGACTACTTTGAAACGAAATTGACGTCTAAATCCGCGACTCTTGCAACTTTACCGATCAAACCGGCAATACCACAATCATTTCACTTTCAATTTGGAAAAAAATAAAAACAAATAAATAAATAAATAAATCTTATTTAAAAACCTCTGGGTTCCAAAACGCCGTCGTCTCCTGCAACTTTCTCTTCCTCGCTATGTATCTCCTTGACAGCTCGAAAACTCCCCAAAACAAAATCTCCCGCGACGCATCACTTTTCGAAGCTTTCCACAAAAATCACGCAAAGCACAAAGTGAAACATTCAAGTAGCTCCGACAAAAAAGAACGCCCCGCACACACACTCGCGCAAAACCGCGCTTCCACTCTCGTACATAGACAATCGGCAAGGAGGCGAGCTTCGAATGGTAAAAAAAAGGCTGTGTATCCACGCGCGCGCAAACGCGAGAGCAAAATGAGCAATTGCCGTGAGTACGCGTGTACCTATATATACACGAATGTCGCGCGCACGGGGTGGACTGTACGCGCGTATGGATAAATCGGTAAGTCCCCCGTGACTGACTCGCCGCTGCTCGCTGACTACTGATGAGGAAAAGGGGCCCCGGCTCGTGCTTGATGCCCACTTGGGACGACTCTTTCTCTCCTTTCCTCTCCGCTGTGGATTTGTATCTCTCTCCCTGGCCACGGCCATACACGCACGCGGTACTCTCTCACCGATACTTTGTCTTTTTTTTCCTTCCTTCGACCCACCGGTCGTCTCCGAGAGATAGAGAGAGAAGGAAGGAAGAGGCTGCACACACGCACGTTCATGCTATACATCCGCTCTCACTCTCACCGAGCGTGCAATGGTCACCGTAAGTACAAAGAAGACCGGCCCGGCGATCGGTATGGGCCTGCGAAGTCTACAATAATTTTTTTTACCATATTTCGGATAATATACATTAGGATACGCCTTATTATACTCATCTCATACTTAAGGCTGGAAAAAAAAAATTAGTCCTACACGATCGAGATGATAAAAAACTGTTCAAGTATACCGATCAACCGTGCACTATTGCTCGTACAAAGTCGCAAATAAATGAATTTGTCCGATCACACGCATACGCGTATCCAACATGCAAATATACTTGATCCATTTACATGTGTACGATTGTACATTACATATCGTATAATATTCGTATGCGCATTACTATTATTGGTGTAGGTATATGTGTACGCGCCTTGTTCGTTATCTCGATCTCAACCTCCTGACGCTCCCATACATCCGTTGCGCTCGTCTCCCTTTGACTTTATCTGCATCTTAAATTACATATGCTATCCCCATGTACTTGTGTACCCTATAGAACCTCCTCCTCCTTTGTATACAATATCGTACAATAGTGAGATCGGTATGGGGACATTATTATGCTAACAGCTGTATATACGTACGAGCGACCGGTCGTGCCCGAAAAAATTGAGCTCATAATTTACAACGTGTATACATGTCTAGTTGCGTAAATAATAGCGAGTGTCTTTACATTTTTCGTAGAAAGTGAAATCTTTTTTTTTTTTTTTTTTTTTTCGTTTTTTTACACTTACTCGGCGCGCCCAATTACACTCAGTTTCGCATATTTAACCGCTACGCGCGCTTGTGTGATTTTCAATTTTAGCGAGTGACGCGTGTATATGTATGTATGTACACGTTCAATTGAATAAGTGCGACGAAGTGCGTGTAGCTTTTCGTCAACTTCCGGTAGCTCGTTTTTTATTTCCTCTGCAATACAATTGCGTTACCTTAGGACTTACACGCACGTCATCAAATTTATATATATATATATTATTAGTTGTTCCAGAACAATAATCTGTCAAATGAACTGTCAAAATACATTTTTTTCCATATGGTCCAAGAACCTGGTATTAGTCAATCGAGCCACGCCCCGCTTTTCGTAAAATCTCAAATTGGGATAACGAAAATCTAGGAAAAACACAAATATCTCGCGCTCGCATCCGATTCTTGTCCTTTGGGAGGCCGCGGCGCTTATTTTTTTCCCCCTTCATTGCTTTCTTTATCCTCGCCTCTCCGCGCCACTTTTATTTTCGTTTCGTAAGAAAGGCGCGTCACTTTCTTTTTCAAACTTTCGTCTTTCTCTCCCAAGTGACCTTTATTTCCCCCCGTTCTTGCTCTCGTGTGGTACACCACCGGGGCGCTCGTACCTTATTTTTCTCCAGCATCCTCCTCTCTCTTTCCTTCTGATAACAGTTTCGCAACGTTAGTTGGGGAGCAAATCACCTTTTTTAGTTTACACTCTCGGATTCCGTGTGTCAAAGTTACATAAATGGGGTCGTTTAGTGTATAAAAAAAAAATTAAAACCAAGTTTTACATTTTACATAAATATTTATTACATGTAGTATCACATACCATAGGCAATACGTTTAACACGGTTTGCTTCGATTAATGGTTTAGCTTACGATAAACATGTAAATTACACTGTTCTTTTCTGTCAGTACTCGTATTTTTTATATTTGTTAAATTTGTGTCATTTTTTTTTTTTTTTTTTTTATTAGAAAACGCTTAAATGTAAAAAAATAGGAATTTTCGTAACTCAACCCTAGCATACTTAATGTAATTTATAATACTTGTAATACTCTATAAGGCGATTCAACTTTGTATTTGGTTGAATTACATGGTATAAATTACTTTATAAAAAAATAAACATTCATAATTTTTTCACACACCTCAATAATGTTACCAATTAGTCGACTGTAATTTAAGAGCTCATTTAAAACTAAATCTTTCCACAATACTCTCAAGAACTTGGTATTGGATCACAAAAATAAGAGAAAACTAAAAACAAACAAACTTGCTCTCTCTTTGAATCTACTTACGCGAGGATTCACAATATTCCAAGATTTGGCATTCCATTAAGAATCGAAGGAACAAAAAAAAAGTAAAGTAAACATTGTACAAAAAATCTTCCAAGAAATAATGCACTTTTATATAGCACGAGCGACTAATTTTAACGATCATCGGGCAGTATTTTTCTCTTTTTGCAATTAACTTTGCTCTCTTCGGCCTTCCTGGCCTTTGCTCCTCGCCTGTACTGCAACTTGAGCAGACACGCATAATTTGTAAACGTCTCCTCGAAAAACGTCGACTCTATAATTTTATTGAACGCCCCGTCCTCCTCGCAGTAGCAAGCCAGAATGGTGTGCCTGTCCATGCACAATACATCCAGCAAGGACGTAGGCTTGTCGACGTAGATATTCCTCAACAGCAGTGTCTCCAGCTTGCAATCTTGCCTACGACGCCTAGCGCGCTCCAGATCCGTGGTACTCATACTGAGATTGTTTATTGACTTTTGATTGTGGGTGCTGACCGGCATGTTGGCCACGAGCAGCTTTTGCACGTGATCGTAAATGGTCAAACTGTGCGGGTGCACCGCAACGTCGAACGGAGTGGCACCGGCGCTATTTTCCAGATTGACGTTAGCACCCCACTTTAATAATTCTTGGACGACGTCGCGTTTTACGTTCTTTGAAGAGGAGGCCAAGTGCAGCGCTGTATTCCAATTAGCGTCCTGTGCATCAACGTCGCAACCTCGACTACAAAACAGATCGATGTAGTCGAGGGTACGTGGACGTATTTTCTCGATTCTGGTCTTCTTTTGCTCTGAAACATTTTGTTCACAAAACAAATCTATTAATATGTGCAGCAACGATTGGTCATCATAAGGTCGAATGGTGTTTGTACTGGCGCCAGAAAACACAAGATGATCAATGATCTCTGGATCAGCGGCTACTTCCAGCGCCAGGTGCACCGGCGTGCCATGCATACCGTTGTCACTGCAATTCAGGTTGGCCCCGCTATTCACCAGCAGCTCGACTGTCTCTTTGGCGTGGTAGCACACTGCAAAGTGGAGAGGCGTGTAAAGAGCAAAGTTTTTCAAATTGTACAGAATCTGCTCATTAATATCCTCCTTTTTTAGCATCTGCTTCACAAGATCGACGTTGTTGCGGCTACAGGCGATATGAAGGAACGACAATCCGTTCAGGTCCACTAGGTCGTAATTATTGAACGAGAATTTGGAAAATAGCAAATCAACTATGCTGTTTGTCTTATCGATCTTCTCTGGATCCTCGGTGTACAGCGCCAGGTGCAGAGGAGTCATGTAGTCTCTATTCTGAGACTCAACGCAGGCACCATATTCGACCAGTAGGCGTACCTTGTCTGGATCACCACTCTGTACTGCCATGTGCAAAGGAGTGCAGAGCGCGAAGAAAGGGTCCTTACAATCGACTGTTTCTTCTATCCAAGCTCCATTGTGCAAAAAATGCTCCACTACCTCTGGCTTCTCTTTGAGGCATACCACGTGAAAGGTCGTTAGCATATTTGAATTGTGAGCTTCGGTCTTCCTGATCCCCTTGGTGAGTAGGTAATCGACGAGGGAAGCTTCTTCGCTGAGCTTGCAGGCCAGGCTTCGAGGTGACATACCACGGGCGTCCAAGGCATCGAGATTACCATTCGCGGCGACGAGGACGCGCGCGACCTCCGCAGCTCGGAACTCTACGGCAAAGTGCAGAGCTGTGTAGCCGGGATAAGCCGAAGACTTATAGTCAACAAAGTGATTGATGCTTGCTCCGGCGGCCAGAAACTTCTGTACGATCACGGGATCGTTCACGGTGCACGCTATGTGCATGAGGGAAATTCCAGCCTTGTTTGCTAAATTTTGGTTGCCTGCGCCACAGCAGAAAGAAAGCAGTTCTTTGACCAATTCGTGCCTCTTGGTGAGGAAAGCTACGTGCAGCGGTGTGTTACCCTGCTTGTCGGCCGTAAGAACAGATGCTCCCTTCGCCAGAAGACTAATGACAAGCTCCTTGTCGTTTAGGCCCACTGCGTGGTGTAACGGAGTGACTCCAGTTTGTGAAAAAGGGCTCGTCATCATGGAGTCTGTTTTGTTTACTCTGCAGCCGTTCTTCAGGAGAAATAAAGCCAAGTCTCTGTGTCTGCTCTTTATGGCACACTTTAAAATCTTGTAGTCTAAAACAGATGAGCTTGTGGCGATCTTCTTGTTGACGGCAAGGTTATATATTTGTTTCAGAGAACTATCCTGGACTTTGCGAAGCAAATTCGACTGTTGTTTCCTAAAACGCGAAGCAAAAACAAACGTATTGAAAAAAAAAAAAAAATTAATTCGAGTGTCAAGAAAAAATATCACAAAAATCTGAACTATACGCCCAAGTATTACGTTTTCATTTTTCTCTTGTGGGCTAATATTTTGGCCTTCATTTGCTTATCACTAGTTGATTTCATCAGATTCAACATAGTACTTTCGACTTTTTGCTTTTTCTGATGACTACGTAATATACTCTTTAACTCGAGATTCATGTTTACAGTTGACTGCTACAACAATCAAACATGTTCAAATTAAAAAAAAAATTTATGATAATTCAGTTCTATGGAGTACATGCAAGAATGCAAGAATTAGCAAAACACCGCCATAATTATAAACAATATAAATGGCAGAATTAGCAGTGAACACTGCACAATTGCACATAGGATCCAAGAGAGAAAAATCTAATTACCTGCGATATTTACTAACAAGTAACAATGACAACGCCATACCGCATAAACACTATCAAAAACAATCAGATTACTTATTTGCCGAATTGCCGACCTGGGCCGACTGTGTATAGATATACAGATATGTCACAACGATTGCCAACATAACCTGACATCACTGCCGGTGCCCAAATACTGCCGTAGTGCCGACAGTGCCGTACTGCCGTATCCGTATAGTCGGTATTGTGCCATTTTAAGGCCGTGCTGATTAGGGTGCCTGTACATGGGCGTCTTACAGTCTTAAGCCTGTGAGCCACACCTATGGCGGTTGATTTAATTCAAACTGATGTTAACTGAATACCGATATAAAATGATTTAAACAAGGAAATAGACACTTTATTCATGATAAAACTATGTAACGTGATTACATTATAAGGTTAGAACGTCTTTAAGGCATCCAATGAAAAATTTCTACAATTCATGTTAATACAATAATTTTGTCAACATAACCTCTCTATTTAACGACTCAGCGTTAGCAAAATTTTTTTAAGTTTTGGTGGCTAAATATCTTTCCAATATTATAATGCAATCACGTAACATAGTTTTGTTACGAACAGGACGCCTATTATCTTGTTTAAAACAATTTATATCAATATTCAGTTAACGTCAGTTCGAATTGAATCACCCGCCATAGGTTTGGCTTACAGTCTTAAGACATTCAAACACCCATGTACAGGCTCCCTTACAGTCTTAAGACATTCAGACACCCATGTACAGGCTCCCTTATCAGCAGCTGATATTAGGTATGTTCGGGGACCAAGATTGGGCGCACGCCGTCAACCCGCGCTCGCCTGCGCTCGCCGAAGATGAAGAAGAAGACGAAAATATGAAACAATCGTCTACTTCCATTGCTTCCATACTTTACATTGCAATGGAGCTATTCACATAGAAATTTTTTGCTTATTTCATTGTGAACGTTCATATTGAAAAGGGGGTTCCACTGTTCCGCTAAACTCAAATTATGCTGTGTTCTCTGTCAGTCAACATTATAGTTGCGACCAACCATACTAGGCTTAGTTGCCTGATCCTGATGGAAAAAGAGGTATAGGTCTGTTCAGTCTGTTCACTCACTTTGAGTTTAGCGGAACAGTGGAACCCCCTTTTCAATATAAACGCAATGAAATAAGCAAAAAATGTCTATGTGAATAGCTCCAGTAACTTTAGTTAACCTTTACAACATTTAGTTAATAGTAAACACAGAACAGCTGATAGTTAACGGTGGTCGCCCGAACTTGACGAAAGAACGCTCGAGCGCAGGCGAGCGCGCGGGTTGACGGCGTGCGCCCAATCTCGGTCCCCGAACATACCTATTAATAGCTGATGCCATCTAAATACCTACATTATACGTAAATTATCGACAGTTCGTTCGATTGCAAATTTAAAAATTCGATATATCGCATGGAACCTAAAATATTTATAATGAAATGAGCTACTTAAAACGTTTGATGGCGTGCGTAGCCTAATAAATTTATAAAAATTCAATTCAATTTATCAGAATATCAAAAAAAAATTAAAAATGCAGAATTCTTCATTTCACAATGTTTATTTATGTAATACCTGTAAATACAATTTAACGCATGTACTTTTCACTTAAATTCTAAATGGATGACTTGAGTATTCAAAAAAACATCAAAACATTGAAATACACATTTTTCATGTAATACATTACATGGTGTTTCAAAAAATTTGTATTTTCAAACAAGTAATACAAATAATGATGTCACGGTCTTTTAGGTTTCAAATAAAAAGTTATTCTAACAAGATAAACAGGACAAAGTAAGCAGGTTAAGGTAATAAACTGTTGGATAATAGTTTCGTGGGACACTTTTCAACATGGCTTTCGTAGCAAAAAACATTGGAGAACTTTTTCTTACAAAAATCGCAACTAAACTGTAGTTCAAAAATCTCGGTTGCATGTTGCGACTGCAAGTGTCTCTTGAGACTGAATTTAGAAACTGTTGTGAAGCCGCAATGATTACAAGCAAGACGTTCTCTGCGAGTTAAGCCACAGTGCTTCAGGTGCTGCCTTAACGACATTTCAAGGGAGAATCTCATCGAGCACTTTGTACATGGATATTTCAAGTCTTGGTCCTTCGGATGTCTGCGCAGTTGGTGATTTAGTAGGTATCGCGGCATCCGCGTTGTATATGTACATTCGTCGCAAAAGAGAGTATTCATTTTTTTACAATTCTCCATGTGATTTAAAAAATCAGGTTCAAAAGAGTACGTTCTAGGACACGTATCGCAGCTAAATATTTTCGGGGCGTGCTGTCGCGCTACGTGGTAATTGACAAGACAATACGAAGTGTACACCATATTGCAATCTGAACATTGAAAGTTGTACGGGCAACAGCAGTTTATGCACGTGGTGTATCTGTATTCCAGCGTATCTCCCGGCTTGTGTTGGCACTTTGGACAGTATACTACTATTTTGCTGTCTATAACTAAAAATAACGTAAAATGTTAAACCATGCATGTGTAGTATACATAAGTACATGATGTAGAAATTAAGTATCATACTTCTCTTGTGTTCCTCCTTAGAGGGTTCAGGCATTTTTACAGTATTAAAAGAAACTTGGGAAATATTTTCTGAAAATAACATTTTTTTAAAAACATAATTCACAACGTCCCAATGAAGCTATTATTTCAAACATGTTTACCAACAACAGCAACATCCTCATCATCCCTAACAAGAGGCTGGTCGTTGTTGATAACGTGTTGCTGCATGTGCACCATAATGACAGATCTGTGCTTTGTTTTGTATGTACAATACTTGCAAGATAAATCAGCGGCCCTTCCGCAATGTCGCGTGTGCTTTACCAATGAACGACGGGAGTGCAGCTCTCTGCCGCATTTCTTGCAGAGGTGTATATCTTGTTCAGGATCGACTAGCGGAACTGAAAGTGATGGTAGCAAGGACTGTTGGGCTTGGACTACCCGTTGCTCTGTCCTGCGACTCCTTGCCTCGAAATAATTGCAATCAGGACACAATACTGAGGAATGTTCAATGACCTCGCATTCGCTTCGTAAATGCATCGCCATGTGGTGTGAGGTCAGCTGATACGTGTGGCAGCGGTTGCAGTGGAAAGTCAGGACTTTGGAACAATTTTCGCAGATTTTTCGATAATTCTGTGGTAGTGATGTGTATGCTGTGAAGCACATCTTGCAATAAACCCGCACAAAGTCTGGTACATCTGTGAAGGTTATATATTTTTGGACTCAAGTGCAAAATTTTGATTAAAACTTTAAAAACAAATGCGGAACACTCACGAATTTCCAGCATTTCCGAGGGAAGATGTTTCATTTTAGCTGCAAAAAATTATAAAGAATAATGCTTTTTCACTGAAGTTTCGATATCGTTTAAAATTAAAATGTGAAAAATATTCCAACTATTTTAAATACCTAATGCTGCTTTTGCTTTCAAATAAGAATTATTAGCAACCCGGAAGATGTCATTGTCATGGATTTTATTGCGGTGATGTCTTTTCATGTGTGAAATAAGACTTCGTTTTTGCTTGAATTTGTTATCACAGAATACACATGGTATATATGGGCCTATGCGACACATATCCCAATGCCTAGCAAAGTTCACGTCTGTGAAAACTCTTTTGCACTTTGGACAGCGTGCAACTCTAATCGAAATTCTTTTAGGGAGATTATCTCCACCTGCAAGTATAATTAAACCCTTGATAATTGCACAATGTCACTTTTACCATTAAAAAATACTTAAAATTAAAACACGTACCAGGTGTTTGGCCATTACAACTTTCATTATTTTGATTCAGACGGTTAAATAATTGACTCTCCCTTACAAAATTTAATCTTCGTTCCAAAGTAGAAGAAGCAGAATTATATCCACAGTAGTTAATAGTCCTTTCGCTTTGATTATTTACTATATTAACGTCATCTGTAAAAAAATTTCATTGAATAAAATGCAGTAGATGGAATTATAAAAATCATTGTTGTGTATACTTTGTCGATTGGGAACATGCAAAATTAATGGCGACTCTTCAATATAATCATCATCTACGTGACTTCTCGTTTCATAGTCCTCATGAGATGCTCCATATGTACAAAGTGCCTCATCCACTACAATTTAAATGAGCATATTAAAACCAATGATTACATATAATAATAGTAAACATATGTTAGAGTAAGAATCAAGATAATTACAGTGATTCATGTCATTTGCTATAGACTCAAAAGCATCCTTTAAGCTTATATAAAAATTATGTTTATCAATTGGTTGGTCAAGTTTCCTGATTTGATTTTCTGAAAAGAGAAACACAAACGTGTAACTAATTTTTCACACATTATTTGAAAAGTGAATCTTACCAGGACGTGGGTTTTTAAGCGCATTTCCTTCATAAGTCAAAAATTCACTAATTGATTCACTATCAGTGTTACGTTCGTCATCAGTAAAAGTACTAGATTCATCAGATGAATTTTCAGTTGACATGTCACTAGAATCTGCAATCTTGCTTACTATAAATAAGACGATTGATTAATTGACAAATTAATAATTTATATTGTTTCTTTCTATGATTTGCATGTATACCAGAATTAGTTTTACTCGTTACTACTTTTAAATGTCCATTCGAGTGAAATGAATCATCGGTGGTATTATACTTAACGCTTTCATCTGGTTTACCTTCAATAACAGTTTCATCATCAATTGTTAAAATGTCTATTTCATCATCTAAAATTAAAGTTATACGTGTGAGTTGGAATTTTCTTACTTATAAAATGTATGGACTGTAGATTCAAATGAATTAAGCTTACCAGATTCATCAACAAGATTTTGTACATTTGTTAATTTGTGAGTATTATCTAGCTCGATTGCATGCTTATTTTCTTTATTATTTGCTTCATTAGAAATTGTCATTTCTCGAGAAAATTTAACCAGTAAATTCTTGCTCGGGGTATGACACTTATCTTTCTGTTGCATACATGACTCTACCTCTTTACTTTCTGCTTGTACACGGTACTTTGTTGCATTTGATGTACTATTTTGATTAATACTGATTAAATTATATTTTTTCGATTTTTTTTCTAGAGTATCTTCATTTGTTGATTGTTGATTTTTAATATTGGTAGTCAAATTTTCTTTATTAATACTGGATAGGTTGATTTCACTTGACTCTGTTTCATCTGAAAAAAAAAAGTAAATTACAAATTTATTTATGAATGAGTAAAATTTTGATTATACCTGTAGTTAAACAATCAGAGTTCTTTCTTCTAGTTTTTTTAGAATTGGACTCACAAGTTAAACTCTTGCCTGAGTGTACATGAAACATAAGTTAATTGAAAATATAATTGTTATTTTAATTTAATGAAAAAAGTTCTGGTGAATTTTCAATAATCCATCTGACAGTTTTGAATTAACGAATGTTTTTGTCCCACACTGTACACTTTACCCTAACTCTACATGTTACGTGACAGGTGTAATGAAAAGACTTGGAAATACATAGTATTAAAGAATAGAAGGTATAAAAATGGAAAGAATACAGGGAAAATCATTAAGTCATTTTACTTACAGGAATTGGTAGATTTTTCTAAAACAGTGCCATCTTTTTTGGAACAAGGATATTTTGTTGTATTTATAGACATCCTTTCTAGAATAACTATAAAAATCAAAATACATGGTGATTTAGTAAAGACAAGTTTTTACGGTATTGCAATAGTTTTAAAACCTACCCTTTGGATATAATGAATTATTTGCACAAAATGGAAGATCCTTACTTGAAGATTTAGATTTTTCAGTTCCTTTATGTTTTTTTTCTAAATTTACAACTACTTTTTTTGATTTCATCTTCTGCGTACATTTTTTGACAACTGCAAAGTAATATTCATTTCAATGTTTAGAACTTTTAAATGTACATACACCAAAGTTAATGACAAAATACAAACCTTTGATTTTTTTAACCTCTCCCTGGCTATTAGCAATAATTTTATCAGTCTTAATAACGAGCTTCTCTAAAACAACTTGGAAATTGACAGAGGATCAATAATTATGCATGTAGATATATGATTTCATGTAACAAGTATCTAATAAAACTGAGTTTGGTGAAAAAATTTCACGTACAACTTACCTACTGGTATTTTCATTAAGCATTGAATTTTAGCGGCACTCAAGCGTTTGTTACCTAAAAATTAATTTTAAAAAATTAACAATTACGATATTAAAAATAAAAAAATAAAATATTATTTTCAAAACATTTTAAACGTTCTTCAACTAATGTATCTCCGTCGAAATTAATAATAAATATCATCTTAAATATCTTCGCAAGTAACTTGGTATGAAACTTTTTGTTTACATCATATGACAGACATAACCTTAGCACAAGATTTTATGAATTTATCTACAAGTGAAATAATACTAAGTATAGCAATATACGCACCACTCCCACTCGGCATTTTGAACAATTATGCCAATACAACTGTTACGAGCAGAAATGGCACTGCCTCATTCGTACGAAAAACGATAAAACGCCTTCAGTGAGTTTCTTGAAAATATTTGCAGGTATTCCATTACTTATGTTAATTGCAATAGGATGTACCTAATAGAAAAGTACGACTTGCACATGCACACGCTCGGTTGTGCTCTATGGGCTCTGCTAAGTATGGGGGCTTGGGAGAAAATATAGAGAGGTCCCCTTTGCCCTCTTCAGCTACTGCGCCTGTATACACGTGTGTATAGCGTGTTGCGTTGAATCGGTGCAGTCCAGACGAATATTTAATTAACAATTTCTCGTCCGCATTGGGAATGATTTAAAAAATTTTAATGATTGTACATTTTAATTTTTCAAGACTGTAAAAAATAATTTACTTATTAAGTTTAAAGAGGTGTATTGCTGGATTTGAAAAGAAAAAAAAAAAATTTTTAATAAAAGATTCTCTTTTACTACTTAGTGTATCTTTATTTATTATGAATTATAATGTATAACATTGCAAAAATTACTTGGTAAAAATATATTATATTTTAAATTATCTTGGATAAACTATAAAATACATTTAAAATGTATAAATTTTTAATAGGAATAATCAATTCTCATGAGACTCTTTGGTTGGTTCCATAACAAATGACTCGTTGTCCAGCACATCGATTACCTCTATGGGTTTTGAATGACCGATATCACAGCTAGTCGTCTCGGGCTGTTCAAGCAGCATGAAACTTTTTTTTTCCAGGTTTAAAGTTACATTGACAGACGAAGTAAGATTTTCGTTAAGCGCTGATGTAACTTTTAATTTTTTCATGTTTTTAGCTTCAGCAGCAAGGCCTAGTCCTATCCTCCTCTTTCGACGTTGTACATTAATTGGTTCGGTGATACCCTGGGAATGTTTGCCTAATCCTCCACCGGACCAACCCATCAATTTCATTATCTTTGAGCCCACATTATTTTGGGACATGCCTTTGTCAGATGATTCACTTTGTAGAATTTCGTTATCTGGTCTATCCATATTTGAACTCAAATTGTTAGTGGGAATTAATGAAGATGATGAGTCATTGTTTGCTTGAACACTGCCGAAATAACTCCTTAATCCTTCAAGCGCTGCTGCATAAGCTTGATATTTAGAACTAATTCGATCACTTGATATACTTTTTGCAATACATTTTTTATTAAAAAATATTGAACACGAAATATTGGATTGAAAGTTTTCGACCACGCAATTGAATGGGATTTTGTTGATTTTGGCAAATTTGCAAACAGTGTTCTGTGGTGGCACAGATAACTTACATAAAAGTTTTCTAGAATTAGTAAAGAAAGCATCTTTAACTGCTGCATAAATATCAGGTTTTGTAAAACTATTGACTGAAGATTGAACATCTGTTGTTTCGGTGGCACCTTGAGAACTTTCACCTAATGCACCAGCTAAGTGCGACAGTTTACCAACGTTGTCTATTACCTTTTCAACAACTTCAGCAAAGGTATCTTCAAAAAATTCACCTGATTGACTGGTAGATTCCATTATCTGTGAGCCAATTTTTGTACTACTTGAATCAACAGATTTTGATTGGTCATTTAAAGTCAAACCACTGGATACATTAATAGGGAAATCTTTGTAGACTTGGACGATCTTAATATACTTTTTCATCTCTTCTAATGCTGCTGCATAAGCCTTTTTCTTAGCTTTTTTTTTTAAACGATCCAAACTTTTTCCTATTAATTGATTATTCAAAAATATTGAGCATAAATAAAGTTGCTCAACGTTTTTAACCCAACACTCTAGTTTGATATTGTTTTGGTTTGCAAATTTAGAAACAGTGGTATGTGGTTGCTCCCTGAGCTGTTTATACACAACACAGTCTTGAAATTGGATGAGAAACTTATTTTGAGTTGCTGCATGTGTATCTGTTTTTTCCAAACAATTAACTGAAGACTGCTGTACATCAGCTGGATTAATGGTACATCTAGTCGTTTCATTGGATTGGTCACTGTGTAAACCTATTGCTTCACCCACAACTGGAACTTCTTTGTGTACATTTGTGCCAATGGATGTTGATTTTTCATTGAAATCTAAATTACTTGGAATTTTTGGAGGCAGGTCATTTTTGAATTGGATGATTTTAAAAAACTTTTGCAACTCTTCAAGAACTAAGGCACAAGCATCCCTTCTTGCGTTTTTTCGATGGTATCCCATACCTTTTGCAACTAATCGTCCATTAAAAAGTACTGAGCATGAATCGTTGTTTCCAACTCTTTCGTACAAATAATTTAAAGTGATGTTGTTTCTCTCGGTAAATCTAGAAATAGTGCAATTTAGTTGCTCACTTTGGTGCTTGTACACAACATTTTCAATTGTTGGAATGAAAAAATTATCTTTAGTTGTTGGGTGTACATCTGCTTCTTCAAGACTATTAGCTGAAGGTTGTTGCAGGTCTGTTGGTCCAGTGGCACCTTGAGAATTATCATCATCTGATCCGCAACTAGCCAAATCAATTATCTCACAAATGTCATTATCTTCCGAGGCTTGATATCCAGGTCGTCCCATCTCTTGTTCGACACCTTGAAACACATTACCACCACTAAATTCATCTGATGGTCCAATCAATTCAATTTTTTTTGAAGCAATGTTTTCAATATTTGAAACACTGGGTGTTGATCTTTCATTCAAATCCAAATTACTTGAAATTTTTGGAGGCAAGCCCTTTGTGAATTCGATGATATTAAAATACTTTTTTAACTCTTCAAACACTACTACACAAGCCTTCTTTCTAGCAGTTTTTCGATACTGTCCAATACCTTTTCCAATTAATTGTTCATTAAAAAATATAGAGCACGATTCGTTGTATCCAACTTTTTCGTACGAAAAATTTAAAGTGATGTTGTTTCTCTCGGTAAATCTAGAAATAGTGCATTTGAGCGGCTCACTTTGGTGCTTGTACATAACATTTTCAATTGTTGGAATGAAAAAATTATCTTTAATTGTTGGGTGTACATCTGCTTCTTCAAGACTATTAGCTGAAGGTTGTTGCAGGTCTGTTGGTCCAGTGGCACCTTGAGAATTATCATCATCTGATCCGCAACTAGCCAAATCAATTATCTCACAAATGTCATTATCTTCCGAGGCTTGATATCCAGGTCGTCCCATCTCTTGTTCGACACCTTGAAACACATCACCACCAAATTTTTCTGATGATCTCATCATTGATGTTTCAGTTGAATCAAAATAATTGAAACCTATTAAAGGTAACGAATCAACTTGAATAATGTTAAAATGTTTGTTCAACTCTTCAAGCACTGATGCTAGCGCATGTCTTTTAGCCTCTTTTTTAAAAGCTCCCGTACCTTGTCCAATTGATTGTTGATTAAAAAATACTGTGCATAAATAAAGGGTGTCAACTTTGTCAAATCCAAAATCTATTGCAATGTTGTTTCTCTTTGCAAATCTGGCAACAGTAGTATGTGGCCACTCTTCCTTGTGTTTGTACACAACATTTTCTACAGTCTGAATATAAAAAATATCTTGAGCTGATTCATATGGATTGTTGCATAAAGGTTGTTGTGGATTGATTGGTTCACTCATACCCATGAAATTACCTCCAGATCCTCTACTAGTCAAGTTTGTTGTCTTACCAAAATCATAATTCTGTGGATTTTGATGACTAGATCTTTGTTGTGCTTGTTCAACTTGAATATTCTTTTTAACATGAACTTTATGAGTCTGATCAGTGAACTTAATAATTTTAGCATTGTTTTTGTTTGCATAACTTGAAACCGTGGTCTTTGGATTATTTCTATAACCCCCACGAAAATTATTTGGAGTGTGCACGGGAAAATGACGTTCTGTGGTTGTTTGTATGCTTGTGGGATACGGATTTGACCTATTAAGAAAATTGTTATCGTAGTTTTGGTAATGTCCTACATTGACTGGTTCTGGAGGCCTATAAAAATGTTGTCCGTAATTTCTACTAGCCATGTTCATTAAATTTTGAGGTGGGCTTTGTATTTGGATATTGTTGTAGAAGTTTTGCTGTCCCATTTCAACAGGCAACATTCTAAATTGTGGTTCAGGTCTTGGGCCCAATCTCCCTGAAACTGGTACATTTTTTTTTGTTTTTGAAAGATATTAAACTGATTGTCATGTCTTTTCCCGCAAATGATTGGTTTTACTTACAAACTGAATTGCTGCGCCAATATCCTGCCATTATTGGAAGAGCCTCTCTTGTTTACATGAGATTTTATACCTTATTACTTTTTTAGACTGTGTCATCAAAGCAAATCTGCAGTTTAAATAGAAGTGTTTCTCATGTTTTTATTGCGATCATATACTAAGTCTTACCTTTTTCACGTAGTATGTCTATCAGTAAGCAACAAGCATATTAATTCGACGGTTATATTAATTCGAAAGGTATTATGGACTATCGTTATTTTAAGGTTAGAGTGGATCAGGATTTTAAACATGTGCATGCTTTGTGATCATTTGCTTACATGTCTTCTTGATCAGGCTAAGGCCGAAGGGTAGTCAAAAATTAAAACCAGCCGCAACTCTTACCACAATTGAGAAACGTTATGATTCGAGGGGACACAAAATATTTTTGTCGAATTTCATTTTGGTAAAGAGTTAAATTAGTATTTAATTAAGTATAAAGATGCGAAGAGAAAATGCGATTGGCAGCAAGATTAGAGTTTAATGTACTTATCTTCTACTCAGAAATTGACCTCCAAAAAAGTGTGTGAATCCTACCACACACACAAAAGCAAAACTAGCCTCAACCTTGGTTTTTTAAAGATAACTTTTATCGCAAACTTATGGCAATTTAAGGATTTAAAATAGAGGGGAAAATGACCTTTCCTCTCTTTATTAAATCCGAAAATTGTTCCAACTTGAGTATTTGAGGGGTATTATTATAAAAACTTCCTACTGGCAAAGTTGCGGCTGGTTTTGATTTTGTGTGAGGGGGTCCATTTTTTTGGTGGTCAATTTTCGGGTAGAAAATAAATTCTAATCACCAGATAAAGTTCACCAGAATGAAGTAGGTAATGACAACAAAAATATTTCGGATCTCCACAAATCACGAGAGGTTTTCTCAATTCTGGTTTTAGAGTTACGGGTTGCGGCTAAGGCTGCAGTCACATGGAGCGCAATAGAGCGAGCAAGATAGGAATTTCTCCATATAAGCGGCTGTGTTAAGTCTATTGCGCTGCAGAATAGCCCTATTGCGCGGCGCAATAGACTTAACACAGCCGCTTATGGAGAAATTCCTATCCTGCTCGCTCTATTGCGCTCCATGTGACTGCGGCTTAAGTACTTAGTTTTAATTTTCTCGGGTCTCAGCTCTTGGTCTGTTCCTCAAGTTCAGATCTATTCGGGTATGATCTAAACGTTTCACTGGTCAATGAACTTTAATCGTCGGAGCGGCGAGCATCATTATGGTAAAACAAAATTGAAATTATATTTGGGAGTTCTGGTATTGGAAATCATAAAGTTACAGTACTTAAAACGTTATTTTTGGTGTTTTGCCGTTGTGGCTCAAGAACTGACGTAACACCTAAACGTGCTAACCGAACAAAAATCCTTGAAGAGCCGAACTGAACCAAAAACGATCGTAAATAAACCTTATGCTGTGTGTCGACTGTCGAACATGCAGAGATGAGATTAGTAGGGGACATGTCGTGCACCATATATGGACAATAGTGTTGTTTTGGTTATTACTCGGTTTATATTGTTGTTATTTATGTCGCATCGTCACATGTCGTAATCATGAACCAAATCCTGATGATGTTGCCCGATGTGGATGCGACACAATTATTAGATTAATTTAAACTTGCACGTTATCTGTAGGTGTTAAAATGTCTAGTATATGTCCACGTACTAGCGTCAGTTTGCTCTCTTTTTAATTCCCACCGTCAGTGTCACGTCAGCGTGTAAAAAGTACTTTGTACTTTGTTGCGGTAGCCGGGCGCAGGACACGACGATGACGAGGTATACAAGTACGACGACTCCTCGAACAGTATATACGTATAGTTAAATTTTTGGAAGCAATCAAGCTATTAAGGTGACAGACGGATGGAGGACGGGAGATGATAAATGACAGCGACAGAATTGTAAATAGATAACAAATAGCGGATCGTCCGTGACTGCGTCGCCGTTCGCCGTCAACCTCTCTACCTCCTCCTCTACAAGTTCACGAACAGCGGACACCGAAGAGAGTAGGTACACGCGTAGAGAGCGTCTGTGCCGTGTGGGTGTACATGTGCCTATACATAAGTATATTGAGAAGTAAGAAGAAGTGAGAGAGGCGGGATAGTTTTTCTCACCGACTGCTGCCTCCGACTCCGAGGGGAGGTGAGGCGCGGTCACTCTCTCTCTTTCTCGAAGTGCGTGCAGTGTTGTACATCCATCCTTACATGTGTGTTCGTGCATGTATTAATGTTTTTTCGGAGCAAGTAATGGCAACCCAGCCAACCTCATATTTTCTGTTGATGTGTTAACTGTTAAGTGTCTTCTTTTGTTATTATTATTATCCTCTTCTGAAGAAGTTCGTTTGTCTGTGTTCTGTGTGCGGTGTTTTTTCAAGAAGTAACACTCGCTTGTGCTTCTATGGGTAGATGTAGCCGCTGGGCGTACACCACCTCAAAGGTCCAGGAGATGTGGCCGGTGGCTATTATCGACGTCGTCACCGTTGGCATTTTTTTCCCCCCCAGCTGACTGATGGGTTAGTTGATACTTTTTGTTTACTTTTTTGACCATTTAAAGAGTTTTGAGAGCGATTTTTCTAGATGATTTGATTTATTGGAGCAATGCTGAATAGAAACCTCATGATAGTCAAGTGTTGCTCTCTTTCTGGTGCTGTCCAAGTGCTGACTCTTGTGCTCAACTTTTTCATTTGTTTTTAGTCACTTTAGACAAATGATATGTTTGGCTTTTTATTTGATTTGCAATGACTGTACAGATAATTTGCTCCTTTCGTCAATATGAATTATTACCTTGGAGTTTTGCAGGCAACAGTCTAGCTTACAAGAATTTGTGTTCCTATAAACTAGATCATTCATTGTGTTATCAAAAAGCCATTGCTATTTTTTTTTTTTTTTTATGAAAGCCTAAATAGCATACTCAAAATATTTTTATTTTATTTTTTATTTAAAACAAAACATTCTTATTTATGTGTTACTTTTTTTGCTTTATAATTATTCAAGTAAATTAACTGATTGCAAAAAATCTCTTATCAGACTTTACATTAGATGTATTTTAGGTGGCCCCGTAATATGACAGATATTTTTACAATGCTTTGATAGCACCTCTCACCAAGAGAGAAAGTTCAAGGGACCAAGTGAATGATGAGTCTTCCCTTGGCTTTATATTTGAAATTAGCCAAAAGTTAATCATGTTGAACACTTCAGCATCAATTATTGTTTAAGGTAAGCAATGTTCAAACTTATTAATCTAATGAGGCTTTGATTTTAGGTTAAAGATTTAAGTATTTTTCTGCTGATGAAAACTTATGAAATTAAAAGGGTTAAAGTGAAAATCTCGAAATTTCAGACTTAACAAGTACATTTAGCCATATGCCTCCAGCTGGGCTATCAGCAAGAGGCTTGTCTACCTTAATGGACCCTGGACAACCAGATGCTCGTCTTCGGAGCGAGCGTTACTTATTATATTCAGAAAATGGCTCGACACAATCGAACTCTTCCAATATGGGAAATTTCTCACCAAGGTACCACAGCAGAACGAACAATCAGTCAATTGGGTGAATAGCATAGAAACACCACCTCTTAGTTAATAATCCTGCTGTTACACTTTGTCATTTATGTTTTTTCAAGCTTTTTACTTAAGAAATCAAATTATTTATAATGAAAGTACAAATGTACAAATGTAAAAGCAACATACATTGATTGATTGCGCATTAATTACGACACTGTTACCAGCAGGATTTTAATGCTTGACTTCTCATACTGTGAGCAAAATTTTTTCATTCACTTAATTGTATGCAGCTACAGGTCATGTATTTGATTGCAATTGAACCTTTGAAAGAACAGTTCGTTACATTTGCTTTAGTCACATTAACAGAAGCTTTATCAATAGCATAATCATACAAGCTTACTTAGTTGCACAATTTCGAAATATCCATGGCAAGAAACAAAAAATTACTTTTGCTCGCAGAATTGTTAAAGTCTTCCTCTTCAAACTAACAGATCCGTATGATTGTTTTTGGTCATCAACACCAGTAGTCAAAATTATTGCTACACGAGAACATCAAGCAACATGTCGGACAGTAGTGTGTCCGACACCCACAGCGGAGGCACTGCTCGGACACTATCACAACAAACCAGCCCATCGCACGGGACTCTATCGTCCCATTCGCGACAGGACAGCTCGACTTTATTCACTGCCCTTTACGATTATGTGGCAAAAGGCGAAGACGAGTTGTCGTTGCAGCCAGGTGAGATGGTCGAGGTTTTGTCCAAGGACTCGAAAATCTCGGGTGATGAAGGCTGGTGGACAGGGAAGATTCGTGGCAAAGTTGGTATTTTCCCCGCAAATTTCGTCGCTCTCGCCGAGACGATCGACAGGGTATCCTCAGTAATAGAGCAGGTCCAGCCTGTGGAGATTGATTTTAAGGAACTCAAGCTCGAGGAGGTCATTGGCGTCGGTGGATTCGGTAAAGTCTATCGGTAAGTCATTAATTTTTATACACTCTTAGTTTCGAATTCAAACGCAACGAGCGACTAATAAATGAGAATACATTTTTCAGGGGTTTTTGGAATAAAAAAGAAGTAGCAGTGAAGGCAGCGCGACAGGATCCGGATGAAGAGCCTAGTATGACGTTGCAAAACGTCCGACAGGAAGCGAAACTCTTTTGGCTCTTGGAGCACGAAAACATAGTGCAGCTTGAAGGTGTTTGCCTAAAAATGCCGAATATGTGCCTGGTAATGGAGTATGCTCGAGGCGGAAGTTTAAATAGGGTACTCAGTGGCAGAAAAATCAGGCCCGACGTGCTTGTAGACTGGGCGATACAAATTGCCCGCGGTATGGACTACTTGCACAACAAAGCACCCATCGGTCTCATACACAGGGATCTTAAAAGCTCAAACGGTGAGTGTAAATATGATACTCTTTCTAACAAGATTAAAATTTATCTTTTTTGGACGTTACGTTTAAACGAAGTTTGAATGTCTATTTACAGTTTTGTTAAGCGAGCCGATAGAGAATGATGATTTTCAATACAAAACGTTGAAAATCACGGATTTTGGATTAGCGAGGGAAGTGTACAAAACAACGCGGATGTCAGCAGCTGGCACTTATGCCTGGATGGCGCCTGAAGTCATTAAAAAAAGTACATTCAGCAAAGCTAGCGATGTATGGAGGTAAACAACAAAAAAAATATACGAAATTGCAAATGAATATTCAAAGATGTGCAATTTAATTACATCATCGTTCTTATTGTAGTTACGGCGTACTTTTGTGGGAGCTTTTAACCGGAGAAACACCGTACAAAGGAATTGACGCGTTAGCCGTAGCGTACGGAGTAGCTGTAAATAAATTAACATTACCAATTCCATCGACTTGCCCGCATTCGTGGAGGTGTCTTATGGAAGGTAAATTATTCCTACAAAAATTACGTGTACACGGTTTGCTAATAAAAATCTAAATTTTGACTTTATCAATTGCAGCTTGTTGGGCTTCGGATAGTCACGGGAGGCCTGGATTCGCGGAAATTCTAGTTGCCTTGGATGAAGTGAGGAGTGCGTTTGCGGCTACACCTCACGAATCATTTCACACGATGCAAGAAGATTGGAGACAAGAAATCGAACAGGTTCTTCATGGTTTGCGCATGAAAGAAAAGGTACGGTGAAATTTGCCATGGAATTTTTCGTTTAAAATCTGCGTGAAAAATATTTTTTTTTAAAAAGTACATGTACGGAAATTTTAACGACTGTCATTTTTCCAAATGCAAATGCAAAGGAATGCCGATCGCTCGAAGAGGTAAGAGATTGGCACATAAATGTTGAGTGAAAAATGTAGAGTGGGATTTTAAGTTTCGCAATATTATTAACACCTGCATCAACTTTATTTAATACACCACAAGCTATTATGAGTTTTGTTATTTTTACACTGATCATGCATGTATACTGATCTCGTTTATGTGTTTTACAAGTGCTTTAAAATTTATTCACGAATTTAACTCAATATTTGAAATTTGCCATTACTATAAGACACAAAAAAAGCCCCAAAAAAATTATTTGTACAAAACACCATTCGTTTTTTCTGTTAAATTGATACTGTCGTGAAGAAGTTGTATGTATGTATTGAAAGTGAATTTTTGTGTATTTTTGTGTTATAGGAATTGCGCAGCAGAGAAGAAGAACTAACAAAAGCCCAAGTGCAGCAAAGGGAGCACGAAGAAAATCTTAGGCAACGCGAACAAGAGCTCGCTGCTCGGGAAATCGAGCTCTTAGAGCGCGAGCTTGCCATGATGATAATTCAGCAACAAAACACTCCTACGCCCAACGAGCGACGCGGAAAGTTCAAAAAGTCAAAGTTAAAATTGAACAAAAAGGAGCCAGGAAGTAAAATTAGCGCACCTTCGGGTAAAAAAAAAAAATTTACGTCATTAAAATTTAATGCTGTAGATGGTGGTGATAATATCTTATGTTTGGAATTGATTTTCAGATTTCAGGCACACGATAACGGTACAACATACTGCCCCCGATCGAGTGAAAAGTCGGAACCCCTCGCGATCGAACAGCCCACCAGGCTCGCCAAGTATTCCACGGTTACGAGCAATAGCCTGTAAGCATAAAATGGCCGATAAAATCGTTAATTTAATACACACTCTTACAAATAGAAACCAAGCACAGCCATGAAGTGAGGGTCATTGCTTGTTGAAGCTAAAATTTATCAAATTAAAATGCTGACAACAGGTGATGTCTCCATCACAGCGACGGCAGAGTAAAGTATTTTGTCGTCTTTCTTTTACTACAATTTTTACATATTACTAGTTATTTTATTTTTTAATTTTTTTTATAATTATTCATCTCAACAGCAGTAATTTTATGCTTAGTAGATGTGATTGGATTGAGTCTGACGTATATAAATTTTGTATCAATAGTCTGTATTTTAAATGGCATGATGTAAAAATTTAGATTCGTTTTTTTTTTCTTTTATTGTTATATGATTTTTCTTCCTTCTGTACCACTTATGTCATGATTTTCAAATGCAATTGTTTCACGAACAATTTTCGTAATGTAGCTTGTGATTTTACACGTAAATCTTTGCATACAAGTAGAAAATTGATGAATTTCGCTCATTTTTTCATGATTGAGCGTTTATTAGTAACATATATTTGATTATTTGGTATTTATTTTGAATATTTTTGTTTATGTATCTATCATTTGTTTTTGTTTTTTATTACTATGAATTACCTTTTTTGTATGTAAATTGCAAAATTATTTTAATTGTAAGTAGAATAAATTCGATTGATTTATATACTTTTACTTTTGAATAAGTTGTCATTCGCAGATCACGAATAAATTAAAAAAATATTATCTCGATGTCAATCGGCAAGTATGGAACTCTGAAATGCAAAGACTGCTTGCAGAATCATTCTATCACCGTAAAAGCCAGCAAAGCGATCGCATCACTAAGCAAGTTTTTTACAGTCCGTTTTGACTAGTTTTTTTTTTTTTTTTTTTTCTCTCTTCACAATTTTTAATTACACACCAGCACCAACAAACAAATGAACAAACAAGAAGATACAAAAGAAAAAAAAGACACCAAAAGTAGTCTATGCAGTATAGTCTCCAGTGTCGTTTTGTTTTGTTTTCTGTTCTCTTTTGTTCCGGTCGTCACACTCGCACACCTTTTTATATCACCCTCGAATCCAAAACCACGTTTTTAATCCCAAAAAAAAAAACAACAACAACAACTCCTGAATCTCCAAAACGTCCCGACGACAACCACAACAGTACCAGCCGATGGAGTAAAGGGTAAGACGTGGGGTCCGTCGACCTTGCACCAGCGCGAGCGCGGCGCCATAATCTCGAACCCGAGCTCGGCCGCAGGCTGCCCGGGTGGCATCACTGGGGTCGCCGGTTGTACCAGTGCGACCGTAGTCGGTGGCAAGCGCTGGTCCCGCTCGGCGCCCGACCTCGAGAAAGCACCCCTACGCACAGCCCTGCTGGTCGCCGCAGTCGCTGGTCACCCCCAGCTTCAGCAACAACTCCAGTACCACCAGTCAACCGCGGCACAGCACCTACGGCACCATCACCACCACCACCACCACCACCATCAGCAACAACATCAGCAGCAGCAGCAGCAGCAACAGGAAATAGGTAACGTGCGCGAGGCGCGTAAGCTCTACTCATCGGCGAGCGACCTCGTCGACGCGTTGTCATCCGATGCTCTAGGTAGCGATTTCGTCATCGTGGCTAGGCCGACCGGTAGTGGCGACGCGAGCCAACAGCCCACCAATAACGACAATAATCTATTGTATAACGACGAGCCGGACGGCGACGAGTACGACGACGATAACGACTCGACCTCGTCGGGCTTCGTGGTCGGCTGCGTGCGCAAGACCAAGAGGCGCGAGCGTAGCAAGTCCAAGGACTCGGGGTCCTACGCGCCCAACCGAGCCAAGCGAGCCGCCGCCGTCGCCTCGAATGGTGGCGCCAACCTCAGCAATAGTTGTAGCAATAATAACACGGGCAAGCGTAGGGACAGCTCAGAGTCGAGGCTCACCTCGCTCGCCGACTTCTTCCGCTCGCCCTCGGGTTCGCGCAAAAGTTCGCTCAACAACGAGCGGAAGAACTCGGCCGGCGTGACGATACGCATCAACGACTCGGACGGCCTCGAGTCGAGCCCCGAGAACTCGATAGTCGCGCACCACAAGTCCCGCCTGTCCAAGAGCCCCCTCAGGGTGCTCAATCGAATCAGAGCCTGGGGCAGCAGGGACGCCTTGGACGACCAAAAGACCGGCCCAGCCAAGGTCGAGTACAGCGCCCTCCAGGATAGCGCGAGGCCGGCAGTCCAGCAGCAGCCGAGCTCCCAGACGCCCAGCTTCCTGGCCGCGAACTCGCGCGAGGGCATCGACTTTGAGAACCTCGAGTCCGGGCTGTGCAATCACCTCGAAGCCACGGCCGAGCAGTCGAGCTGTGGTGGAGGTACCAGTCCAGGGGAGCCAGCTACGTTGAAGCTGTTCCAGGAGTTGGATCACCTCGGGGGTGCAACCACGGCAGGGGCCATGACCTTCAGCGACAACGAGCCGGGCTACGGCAGCGACGCCGATACGGACGGGCTCATCGACGAGGACGACAGATCGAAGGCCGACGAGGAAGAGAGACGAGCCAACGTGGACGCGAGGACGATCACGGGTAATTGGCGGGCCAACGAGCCCGGTGGGAACAACAACAACAACCAGCGGCATCAGAATCACGGTAGCACCCTCATACTGAGGTTCGCCAAGCCCAAGGTACACGAGGCCAAGAAGTTCTTTCGAAAGAATTACGGCAGCGCGCTCAAGAAGAACTGAGGGCTCACGTCTCTCTCTCTCTGCCCGCTCTCTGGATTTTTGCTTTTCTGATGCTGTCGAGTGCGCCGAGTTGTCGGACTCTTTCATTCTAACTGTGCAAATTTTTTTTTTTTTTTTTTTCCCCTCCACTAATAGGATGGATTACCAGTTGTAGTTCCGATAAAAATTCCGTAGGCGATTTTAGTGCTGTACTCGCTTCTCCCCTGGAAAATTTAATCTTATGCGATGGTCGTGTGGATATTTATTTATTGATATTAATTATTTATTTAATTGAACAAAGTGTCGGTAGTGGAGCGATTGGGGGATATCGTCGCCTGGGGTTACTGTGCTTTACTGCCTTAAATATTGTTTATATATATTTTCTTCCAGATCCGTATGTTTTGGGTAGATCAAAGAATCGAATGAAAAATTGTTGTTTTTTTGTACAATTGCAATTAATGAAATTCGTCTCGTTTATGCGAAATAATTTATGATCGAATAAACAAATTAACGGATAAAAATGGTAAATAATTTAGGCGATTTTTTAAATAGTAAGAAAGGGATGGTTTACACCGTTTTAATTCACAGAGCATTGCAGAAGACATTGCCAAAGGCTACAATTAATTTAAAAATGCTTGATGCATTTTCGAAGATCTGATTATCTTTGTTTTTGATGAATTAATTGCAAAGGCAAATTTTTGTTTCAGTTTAGATCTTAAATATTTATAAATTAGTTCAAAAATTCTTAGTCATGGTCAGAAAGTTACAAAACAAAAAAATCGTTAATGCTGAATGATAAAAAAAAATCTAATTCCTAGAGTAGACATTAATGTTATTCTTAAGACTCTTCGCACGAATTCCATTAAATCATANGTCAGTAAAAATGACTTTTAAGATCTTAAAACTTTTAAGAAGATTTATCTGATTACCCTGTTAAAAAAAAAAAAAAAAATTATTAAAATTATTAAAATTAAGAAAAAAATTATTGTAGCTTGTTTTTGATACATTTCGTTTCGTAAACCAATCGATTTTTTTTATTTAACCAGGCCTTCCTGAGAAGAACATCTACGTTCCCCGTAAGTCGTAATTAACGTTAAGCTGCATTTTATTTCTTCATGTTAGCTTATGATACGTTAGAGCCACGTTAATATTGTGCATTTTCGAAGGCGATCAATAATTTTTTATGTTGACGGAGAAGCCTCCGGTCGTACCCGATTATTTTGGTTGGTAATTTTCATGACTTTTTCATTTTAATTGTTAAATTTTTTTTTTCGATCTGTGAGTTATTGAATAAATAAAGTTTTTAGGATAAGTAATTTAATTAAACGCGATCAGAGGCACCTCTACTGTTTATGTGATTAGGTTACACGTTAGTGCATGCCCATTTGTGGAAGGAAAGTTTTTTCCGTTAATTCCTTCCACTCCATTTCCGTTGTTGCCTGTTTGTGTCTTCCTGCCGGGTCACCGGATTTTTATTTCTCTCACAAAAATTAAAAATAATACCGTACATGAATCCTTTTTTTTCACGGCAATTGTTATAACATCAAAAAAAATATCGATGATGAATAAAAAAGTATATTCCCTCGTTAGTATGCGGAAACCTACTAATGTTTAAAAAAAAAAAGTAGATATATAAAAGCGAAAAATCTTTAGAATCACAGTCAATCCGTTATTTCATTAAATGCATTTTTTCAGCTCCTCGCCCTAACTTGCTTCTTTTTAGTCTAAAATTATATCTATAATTTTATAGTTGAAACGTAGAATTTTTTCGTACTAAACAGCTACTTAGTAGTATAGCTCAATTTTCTAAAGTTTTATTTTAAAAACTTTGCTTATGCTTAATCCAAGCTTATACAAAATTACCTGGATTAATTTTTTTTAATTTAGTGATTTATAGAGCAAGAACTTCATTATTTAGCTGCAAAAAAGCAATTTCGGGTACAGGGGCTTGGAAAAATTAAGTTTTTTAAATAACGGACACCTCAATATGCATATTTCAGCAATTAATATGTAAAGTTGACACGCTTTTAGCGCAAAGTTTTATTACTTATACAAAAGCTATCAATCACTGTTTATCATTTATTTATTTTTACACGTGTACGCGTTAGGTACAATTAATTCTTATGATTTAAATATCGTAGGGTTAAGATTTTTTAATTATTGCAACAATTGATACTGAAGAATCGAGGATGCGATGTCATGTCCAAAGACGGAGAAAAAGTTGGAAGTGATTTGCCTTCTTTTTTTTCTTTATCTCTACCTCTCTGTTCTTTCCGTATTTGTGTAAATGATTTCGCTGCGTGATTTTTAATATTTTTTTTTTTGTGATGTACTATTTAAATAAACCTTTTTTCGATTATGATTGTAAGTACCGTAAGTTATCTCGTAAGTGATGTATAATAATGGAATATAATTATTTTAGTGCAACAACAATTGTAATAATTTTTTCAGTCGGAAACTCAGTATCTGCGTTCCATTTCCTAATTTTTTCTCTGCTCCTCGACTCTGGTCTGCATAAATAGTTGAATCTACTGATTTTAAACGACAATTTTCTCATCAACTTTTTAATTCGATATAAAAACGACCCCACAGCTTGCCCGTATTGTTTATTCATTAGCCACTGTATTTTCGATTATTGCGTTGGATCAGCGAGCACGTAGTATGTGAGAACGAAAAAAATAATACAAGTCACCATGCAGTTTGTTAATTATCGTTTCGACCGATACGTCCTGAGAAAAAAAGATTGCAATCAAATAACAATCAAGTAATATTTAACAATAACATACATTTACAAAACATTATTATAGTAATAGTTAATAGTAATAATTGATATTATAATAAGCAATAATAA